CCGTCACCCTTACCATGAAGAAATTATTCCACATGTTAGTATGGAACTTCCTATATTCAAGTTCTAGGCCATTACTCCTTGTCCTTTCTCTATGCACTGCCAAGAAAAGCCTGGCTTCATCCATTTGCCTTCCACCTCTGTTTAGATAGTTATAGATGTTTCTCAGATCTTTTCTCAGTCTTCTTTTCCCCAGGCTGAACAGACTCAGTTTACTCAGCCTTTCCTCATGCATGAGATGCTGCAGGCCTTTAATTGTCTTTGTTACCCTCTGCTGGACTCCTTCTAGGAGATCCCAGTCTTTTTTGAACAGGGAGCCCAGAACTGGATCTGTCAGTCTAAATATGGCCTCAGCAGGGCAGAATAGAGGGGGAGAATTGCCTCCCTTGACATGCTGGCCACGCTTTTTTAATGCACCCCAGGACACCATTAGTCTTGTTGGCAAACTGCTAGCTTATGGCCAACCTGTTGTCTATGAGGACCCCCAGGTCCTTCTCTGCAGAGCTCCTCTCCAGTGGATTATCCCCTCACCTGTACGGATGCATTGTTAAAGTATGTTGCAGAGACCAAACAATCACTGTAGGGAACAATTTTTTTTCTTCCTGTATGATAAATGCAAGGTACTTCCACTAGTGACTGTATGAGCTGGGACGAGAAGTGAGCATTGGTTGCACCTGAGCAGTCTGTGCACTGGGCTCTCAGGCTAGCTTCAGTAACCATGAGTAGCAATTCTTACTTTTTAACTTGTTTTGTTTTCCAAGACTGGTATCTGTTTTGTTTATTTGTTAGTTTGAACTATACAAAGTGTCACTCTGTGGTGATGTGTTTCAGATAGAAATCTTTTTTTAGAAATAGTGAAAAAACTTCTTCCTTACACAACAATATCCAAAAATATCAGAAATTGTGAGACACAAAGAACAAAATGTAAACTGCACAGAAGTCTCCTGTCTTCTTATACTTTTGCGTAAGGTACTTCAGATACTTTAGCAGGGCTTTCTGTGCTGTCTCACATAACATACATTTACATAGACAGACTGATGGAATGCAGGCTAAATAGGTGGGTAATGAGGTGGGCTGACAACTGGATCAGCTGCTATTGGACATCTTGGAAGATAGGACAGAGCAAATCCTCAGCAAGCTTGCAGATGGGACAAAACTGGCAAGAACTGCCAGTTCCTGATAAACTGATAAAGCAGCTAGTTGTGCTGCCATTCAGGTGGACCTCAAGAGGATGGAGAAATGAGTGAGCAAGAGGGTCATGACCAAGTCTTTCAACCCCTGACACAAGTCAGTGTGAAGCTGACTGCCTGCAAAGCAGCTTTCAGAAAAAGACTTGGAAGTCCTTCTGAGCAAGTCAAACAGGAGCCAGAGGTGCATCCTTGCAATGAAGCTGTCTCCTGACATCTGGGGCTGTGTTAGAAAGCATTAAGAAATGGTCCTAACTGTCTGCTATACATGGGTGGGGCCACATGTCCTGTCATGAATGTACAGGATCTTCTTGTGGCTCTTACTCTCACATTGAGTGGCATTCTGTTGTGCAAACTCATTATGTTAAAATGATCCCTTCTTCTTTCATTGAGATGTTCAGTACTTGTATATAGCTTTGCACTTAATATAGCCTTACTGAGTTGGGAATGTTACACGTACTGTTGGTACCTTATATACCTTAAGTGGCTTTGTAAAGATGGCGAGTCCTAAAAGAGAAAACATTATTACTTTGAACATTTTTGCTGCACAGTGATTTCAAAGAGCACTAGGCAGTGTAGAGTCCATACAGAGATATTTATTATTATGACCCACTTTTCATTGCAGAGCATCATAAATTTTCCTGTTTATTCATTTTTACAAGGCTTGCAATATGGTGAGAAATCAGATACTTTTCATAATATTTTGTGTTTATAGAAGATAAAATGATGCTGTGGGTCTTCCTTTGTTCTGTTTCTTTCAGAACCGTAGATCAACGTGACAAGATACCAGTGCAGAAGGACAGTATATTTTTTTTTGGGTATTTCATGTTCTGGGAAGAGATATTTATATCTACTCTCTGGCCCAGATTCTAGAACTGCAGCCAGTTTCACAAACAGCAACAATTACCAGCTAAAAGGGGACCAGAATGTCTTGGAGTTGAGGATCCCTGGGGAATATATGTAGGTTTTTGAGAAGAGGAGTGATGAAGTAGTGGTAATTTTGGCATTCTGCTTTTTGTGCTCTCAAACACTTCTGTCTTCCCTCCAACTCCCCTCCACACACACATCTGAGTGTTGGCTTATCGCAGCTGAACCTTTTTATTGCAGTTGTTGATAGGCAACAATAGTTGTTCTGCACTATTGTCTGCTTCAGTGTTATCATGCTATTTGATTTCTTTTTGCTGTTTCGTTCCTTTCTTTAAAATCCACGTACTGAGCTCTGAAGTTATTTTTCCATATACATAACAAAATAACAAAATTTTTCTCTCTATGTGAATAACTTCATGCGAGTAGAAAGAATCAGCTGTTTCAGGAGAAAATCAAAGTTGTCCAAAATAAATTTTGTAATCTGAGTAGATTGCTGTCAGGCAGAGACCTGTCAGCATTTTTCATCCATCCATCTCCACCACCTTCTGTTGCAATGGCAGTGTGCCTGTGGGCAGAGCATCAATGATTTACTCTTCATTACTGCAAAGGAGACTATTTCTGGATAGAAGAACTGAAAATTCAGAAGTGTTGAATTGTATTAATTAAGTTGTTAGTAAATGTGCTGCCTTGTAACAATCAGCTCAGCATTTATGCTTGGCTTGCATGTTCTTCATGCAGGACCTTTTCTGAACTTCACTGGCGTTCCTGTAAAGATTTCTGTTGACTTTAGGTACCGATTTTAAAAGACCAGGAACAAATGCTTGTAGCTGAAGCATTGGAAGTCTTGCTATTAAGTGCTTATTTCATGCCTTCAAACTTTCTGGATTTGTTTAAAAAAATATTCAAATACTCTTTTATTTACTTAGATGTACTGAGGACACTGAATAATTTAATACTACTTGTATTGGAAGTATCCTTGGAATTTTCTAAGAATCTGTTTGCTTTTGGTAGTGAAGTGTAGTTTGTGAATCAAAAGAGATACTAATAGAAATATGCTAGACATTAAACTGGCACTCAGGGGAAGCATGAGATATGTCCGTGGAAGAAAATAGTGGGACCTCGGGTTAGAAAGGCACATTCAAAAGAAGAAACTAACAAGAAAACCAACCCAGAAACAAGCAAACAAAACCCAACCAGCTCAACATCATATTGCTTGCTTACATACAGAGATCTTTGAGGCTCCTGAGATGCTTTACAGGCTGTACTTCTAGAATTTCTCTATCTTTGAGGAAAATAAATATGTGGATAAGATGCAGCTTTCTTTGCTTTTTTTTTTTTTTTTTTTTGCTTTTTTTTTTTTTCAGTAATGAAGATAATCATGCATGCTATAAATTTTTATTGCCTGTGTGCTTGCCTTAATGATGCGTGCAGTTTCCTCATGGAAAGTTAAACCTGATGGTACTGGAGTCAGCCGAGGACAGAGATTGTCCAGCTGCGCTCTGTGCTGGGCTGCCTCACCTCCTCACCGCCCAGCATAGTTTGGGTGCTGCAACATAAGAAGGACATGTAGCTATTAGAGAGCATCCAAAGGAGGGCTACAAAAGAGAAGGGTCTGAGGATGGGGTGTGTGAGGAGCAGTTGAGGTGGATCAGGTGGGGGTTAGGGAGGGCTTCTGCCCCAGACTGTATTTTTAAGTCAAGAGTAACAAGGCTGCGTTCTTGATTATTCTTTCATAAATAGTGTATGGTTTTCTAAAATGTAGGTGACAGTTCTTTATTTTTATTTATGTGGGACTTCTTTTCTAAGAAACTGGGCTTGATTGGATAAGAGCTTCCTGAACAGAGCTACAGTAGCCTTAAGTTTTTGGTGAAATCTTTATAAGATTGCAGAATGCATTTAAATTTGTGTTATAAAACAAATTTATTTACTTATTTTTTAAGAGTCAGGGTTATTAAGTGCCACTGAAGAAAGGAGGATCATGTACTTGAGGCAGGAGGTATATTTATATGATTAAGAAGTGACTTCATAAGCGCACTTTTAACATGTTATGATGCCTACTTCCAAAGAATTTCCTGTATGAAAGAAGTTGTATTTATGTCAGCTTCCTCTGGGTCATCCTAACCTTTGTGCCCTTCCAACAGCTTCTCCCTCTGTTTGTGTTTCATTCAAACAGCATTCTGAGTTTCTGAACACAGGCTGGTAAGTAAAAACAAACCCCGTGACCTGTTTTTGTTTCTGTTATGACAAAAACATTTCTTAAGGAGGAGAAAATACCGATACTGCTGAACTGATCTACAGAGACTTACTGTTTGCATCTCAGTTTTCCTCTTTGGAATTTATTTCTTTCGTTTTTTTCACTCATTTGTGTTTTTGGCTTATTAAGTGACGCATTCTGCCTTTAGGACTTAGTTCACTGGTACGTAATAATGCTGGCTGGGAAATTGAATATGCCATATTTTTTGGTGTACGTATAAAAATATTCTCTCCAGATCTCAAAATGTAGGAATACTTCAAAAAGTGAAGCAAGTTCTGATACCTGTACATCACTGCTAAGGAGCGAGTGCCAGATTTTCACAGCACAGAACGAGACCATCATATAAAATGGTGTTGCAACTCCATTGATGAAGTTGCAATCAACTATGCATTCCCATCAGCCTGTCTATTTGAGGAGAAGTTTTGGAATTTAATGCTTTACCTTGGCAGTTTGCCTCTTAAAGGAAACCGTATATTTACTTTGACTCTGTATGTCTGTTAAGTCTGCAATAAAGTGATCTATCTACTGTAAGAGAAGCCATGCATCTTTTCTTTGTTAGCTTAACCTTTTTTTTCTTTCTTTTTTTTCCCTCATATGTTTTTGTTTTTGGGCCTCTCAAACTAAACAAGAAAATAAAAAAACACCCTGCTTTTATAAATGCCACATGGCAATGTGTATATTTTTTCCTCTTACAGATGAGAACTCTCCAGCCAATTTCTGGGATTCCAAGAATCGGGGAGTGACTGGCACTCAAAAAGGACAAATTGTATGGCGAATTGAACCTGGTCCCTATTTTATGGAATGTGAGTACCTACTTATCCAGTGGGCAAACATGCCAGTTATGTCAAGGCAAACCTGCAGGATTGCACTTGATAGCCATTTTGTCAAACTCTAACCAACCTAAGGGATTGATTGTATTTCTCTTGGTAGCATATTTTTCAGTGTGTTTGCTACACATCACAAAAAGTGTATTACACAAAAAAAGTCAGGAAAATATTGACCAAAAAAAAAATAGTTGAGTTTTGAAGTGCATTTGTATTTTAGGGATGTTCTTGGACAGTGTACTTCAAGAGAACAAAAAGTTGCCTTGTTCAATATTGTGCAGTATATAAGCAGTGAAAGATGGAGTCCCCTCCCAGGAATTTTAAAGTTTCATCTGGACAAGACATTAATTGTAAATGGACATGAAGAAAAGGATAATAAGGTGACAGTCTTTGCTCATGTTTGTTAGCATTAACATTAGATTTATTGCTGGGAATTGCCAGCCTTCTGTCCTGTTGCATTAGGATGTCTCAGCTGAAGTTTCATTATGCTGGGAAATTCATTGGGCGGTTTTGAAATATCGAATCTTAGTGTGACTGAAATAAACAAATCTCCAGCAGAGTTCTGCAGTAATTCTTGGTAGTGAAGGTTCAAATCAGAGTGCTAAGCCACTTCAATAGATTACAAGGACTTGCAATAAACTAAGCTGCTCTGTTATATGCTTTTTAAATTTTATTTAATTTTATTTTTTTTGGCTTTTTAATGAAATATTGTTATTTTGCTATGTGATCCACTTAGGAAATCGGATTCTTTAATTCTAGGATGTTGTATATGAGTTTGTTGAAAACCCTGATAAGAGTGGCATCAAAGTGGCAATCAGTCCCAAAAGAGCTGTGAGTTGTTCTACCACCTGTTTAGCCTCACAGCAATGTCTTCCTTCATAAATTAGAATATATATATATATATATATACACCCACTCTGATATCTTACACTGTAGTGCTTCTAACTGTAAATCTTGGCAGAATTTTCTGTTCTCATTGACTGATACACAGCAATACATGTGTTTCTAAAGATGTTGGGCCTCGCCCCCTCTACTATAAATAATTATTAAGAGTATTTATTTCTAGAAGCCATCAGTGAATCTTGCCGACTTAAATCTGTGCATCACACAACACATATATTTTAACAAGAAAGAGAGAGCTTTAATCAAATATAATAGGATAAAATCAAAATAGGATTTTGCTACAGAAGAAAATGGTTGAACTGAAGATAAAGATCAAGAAGATGTGCAGATAGCCATAATATGGACAGATGACATTCTCACTACACTGGCATGTACATACCTCTAAAGGCTGAAATGTAGCCCTGCAAGCTCTGAATCCTCAGATTTCTTTCTCTCAGAGTCACACTCCATATAATCATACAGTACTGTCCAATATGTATATGCAGCTGGTAATAGAAAAAAACAATTCAATATACAGAATGAACAATTTCTCCCATACCAATGAAATTTAAAAAAAAAAAAGAAAAAAAAGAAAAAAAAGCCTGTAGGCCTAATTGCCTATCTTACCCATAATGTGAGATCTCTGCAGGGCAAAGTGCAGAGGATGGCAGCCTCGCTAACAGGCCATATCCAACTAAACCGTACGTAGCAGGAGTATTTCCATTTTAATTGCATTAATGTTAATCTGTGTGAGTCAGCTGGATTGGGCCTTAGACTCTCTGGAATGCTCAGACTTGTACCTTATAGGAAAAGCATCTTTCACCTTAATTTAGGAAGCTCTTTTTCTATGGGGATCATTTTAAACTTTTTAACAGTTTCACTGAAGTCTGTGGAATTTTTGCTTATGTTTACAGTTAAGCCTTGTTCAAGCTTTTGTCCTGAATTTTATGTTGTTATGTATCTGCGGTCCTCTAACTGAGTTTTTCAGTCATTTGGTTTATTCCTTATAAATCTCCCCATGGATTTGGTATCTCCTACTTCCCAAGCAGATGACTTGTAAACACACAGCTTGCTATCTCCTCTATTCAAATCAGAAGCCCACAGAAAGGAGGGCGGGGAGGATCTCATCATCTTCATACTAAAAACAGGCATTAATTCCCCCTGAAGCACCCTAAATTAGCCAAACAAGGATGATCAAAGAAAGCTCTTACACGCTTTAGACAAAAAGTGACACAAAAAATTCCACAGACTCTATGCAGAGGAGAGAATCAAAGAAATCAACATAGAAATAATTAGATGAAGCTAATATATTCCCAAAATGCAAGCAGCCTCTGAGGGGAATGATTGAGGAGTGGGGAAGGAAAAGAGTATGCAAAAAGGAAGGAAAATAAGTTCCAAGTCCAGCTCAACATCAAAAGCAGCTGGTGTCCTTTAGCTGTCACCTCTAGAGAAAGTGACTGGTTCTGGACTGCAGAGCAGGCTCTCTTTCTTTTGCTTAGGAATGGAGCAAAAGTGCACTGTGAGCATGAAAAGGATCTCTTGCTTTAGAGACTCGACAAGGTGAATCTGAGTATCAGTGTGCCTGAGATGCTGTTTCCTTACATAACAGATGTGACTTAAAAACTTTTTGCTTTGAGGTTTGCTTAAATGTGGTGGAGGGAAAACAATGACTCACCAGATTGTTGCCTCAAGCTGTTTGCTGTATCAACTACAGGAGGATCGCTAGAAGTGACCACAGCTCTGCAAACAGTTTTTCTTCCTTCTCTGGTGAAATGAAAGGGCAAGTTCAAAGTGTGTTACGATGAATTGGTAGCAATAGTGGGAATGTGCAACACGTCTTGTCTTCATATGCATTTGGTATGGTCATCTGATATTTATCATGACATTAGACTCAAGGCTGTTATTGTCTAGTGCAGGAGAGGCTGCAATTGCTCCTCGAGTGCTGATAACATGATGGAGTTTCTCTGGGTGCTCTCTTTTGGTGTGTTGGCACAGAGGTGATGGCATTCCTTACAGAGAACAGAGCTAGCAGAAAGAGTGAAGTGACTTGTGGGGAAACCTTGGTGATAGAAAAAGCATTTGAAAGGAGGCTTGAGTTTTCTGCAGAATAGCTGATACAAGCTGCTGCAAGCTGCTGCTCATTTAGAAACTGCAGCTTCTAAGTCTGCAATATGGGCAACAAGGACTGGTTGTATTGAAAGTGCTGCAGGAGGGGCATTCAGTACAGTACAGTCACTGCTGGGCAACAATTAAGTTCAGTGCTTATGAGTCTCCGCAGGTGCAAAGTTCCTGGGAGTTAAAATCTGCAGATGTCCTAGTAGGTAAAATAGGCCAGGGCCTATTTTTGGTTGCTGGGAGCAAGGAGCACAGTATGACTTGTGCCCATACAGCCCCAGCAGGTGGGGCAGAAGTGTCAAAGGTGCTCAATGACTGTTGTGCGCTATGGTTGGTTTTCTGCTGGTATTTTAATTCATACCATAATCCTGCTCACTTTATAGTATGGGCATGGGCTAAGAGCCTCCTTTAAGTCTGGGTTTCCTGGATTGAGCCGTGGAGTAATACTGACTTATATTTGTCAGTTACAGCTGAGGTCTCATGTGTGTTAATTACAGTATCCACAAGAAACACCTTCACTTACTTTACTTGCAGTGTAATGTGTTTGTTGTTATTTATAGCATTTGATGTCATAGTCATTACTGTGAATATAAATAAGCATATCGATTTGCATATATTTTCTTCACATCTTGAACAATAACTCATAGTGGCAGCTGTTGGGATTTATCCACACACTGCCGGTCTCATCACATCAATCATGTTCCAGATCACTCTTGGGATGTTTGAGGTTAAATCCCTTCTGGTGCCACACTGCAATGCTCAGATGCGGTAACTGCACAGACTGTTTCTATTTTGTCCTTAAAATCTCAGTTTTGTGGCATGACTCTGAGATATATTCAGAAAGCGTGGTGGTTATACGTGTGTTTGCATTACACTGGCATCAGGTTACAACTGAAGCTTTATATAGAGTTCTCTGTATTTAGTCCTTATTTCAGTGAAACTATAAGTTTTATAAAAATGGGGAATGGAGACTGAAGCTTGATGTATTTTGCAGTTAGCAGAGTGAACTCCCAGCCCTCTTTTTTTATTTGAAAATACTAAGGGAGACTGAAACAAACCAAATGGGCTTTGTAATTGAACTTGATGTACTTTCAGTTTTTAAAGGTGCTTTAGTGAAGAGTTATTGTCTGGCAGAGATAGGAGCACAGTTCCATATTCTGACCAAAATGTTGGTCAGTGGTCAGTGTTAATGAGTATTCTAGTAAAATAAAATCATTACTTTTACCCAGCATGCATGTTTTGAGCATTCAATTTAAATTGTAAAGGTCATATTTTTCTGATGTGGAAGCCTGGATCTGGTGGCACTGTGTAACCAGCACCCTCTCAGTAGTCTGACTGGGCTGTTTCTCATGGTTATTGTTGCTGCCCTATTTATAAGCCTTTTCACCAAGGTAGAAATACTTTTTATTATACCTCTGCAATTTATATCTGTTGTTTCCTAGCAGTTATTTTTGACTGTAACAATTGAAATAGGATCATCTCTTGTGGTTTTTTGCAATTTATGACAAGCCTTGTTAGCTTGCTTAAGCGCATAATACCCGAAGTGTTTTATTATGAAGGTTAGATTATAATTAAACACTTGGCCAAAGTGGAATGTAATATTCAGTGCTCATGGCTGTAAATAAGTGTCTCAGAGTTGCAGGAAAGTGAGTGCAGGCCAGGTCCATAGGCTGTTGCTTCAACAGATCTTGCTTTGCAGCTGCCTTTGAAGCAGTTTAAGTGGATAGAGACGAGAGGACAGAAATCTGATACTGATACTCATACTAGTTTAGCTAAAAAGCTCTCTGTAGTTCTGTTTTGGTCAGTTTTGAGGCTTTTTTTCATTCCTTCTGTAAAGTAATCTGGTGTACTAGGAAGTCTATTTCTGCACATGTTTTGCTGCTCTCCTGTTTGCTGTCAGGAGTAGTCAAAAAGGTTCTTGCTTAAAATGATGCAGAGGAAAGACTATGTAGTATTTGATCAAGAAGGTCGTGTTCAGTGCAGTCACGCTAAGGAAAACAAATTCAACTGACAGGATGTGCAAAACACTTCTAAATTTCTACAGTTCTAACACTTTTAAATTCCTACAGTTGGCCATTGGGTGGATATGTTCAGCTGGGAAAAAATAGGGTTTAACTCAATGCTTTTTCCCTGACTTAGCTCTCCCTTTATGCATTTGTAAAGGCTTAATATGATTGGCTCAATTTGTTCCAGAGCCAGAATTTTCTTAAATGTTTTGGAAAACATGTTTCCATGCTTTTTGGGGAAATTCTCCCAATTCCTATTGAGTGTTTGATGATATGTATTTGGATCTTTAGAGAGCCATGGGTTCAGGCGTGTGATTCTTGCATTGAGCTGCCTCGTCTGGGAGCTGGGCAGCTTCTGTGCAGTTGGCGGGGAGCATCAGACTGCTGCAACCCTGTGAGGATTTCCCTTAGCTTTCAGAGGTGTGTCTGCCATCCCCTCTCAGTGGAGTGTGTGATGACCTCAGCTCTGGTACAGAAGTTTCAGTTGGGTAGGGGATACCCTACCTAAGGACCCAGGGTATTAATTTGGTTGATGGCATGGGGCACAAGGTATGTTTCCACCCATCTGGCGGTTGCTTCTACCATTGTAAGCACATGACGTTTGCCATGGTGAGCTTGTGGGAGTGTGATTTTATCCCACCTCCCTGTAATTATATTTGTGCTACCATCCTCTGTACCAAAGAGGTTTTATCTGCTTGGCTTGCTTAATTACAGCATGCTTCACATTCATGGATAACTGATGTGGTAGCATCTATAGTCAAGACCACCTCTTGATCCTGAACAAACTGTTCTCTAAGTGAGTATTTTTATTTTCCTGAAAGATTGGTCTCCTGGAAATAATATGTTCTTCTAGAATTACACTTGCGTTTATGTACTCCAAATTCCTGTATTCCGTGTATCTTTTTATCCTAAAGCATTTTTTTGTTAGTCAAAGATAAAGGCCAAAAACACATAGATAAAGCGAGGGACTTTGGAGGATTACTGATGTTTTAAAGGCAAACTATTACTTGTTATAAACTAATGTCTGTATTATTGAAGAGACAAGGGTGCGTGGTCCGTAGAGGGAAGCACAGAATTATAATTTCATGCAGGAGTTCTTTTGAAATTCAAATATCACTGTTTGAGTCCCAGAAACCTCTGTTTATTCCGGAATTTTTATATAATGGTTCTGAGCTATAAAACTAAGGTTACTGAATGATAACAACTATTGGCTTTAAAAGAAGAGGATTACGGTCTTATGGAGTGTTCAGATTAATTAACACGTACCGCTACTTACTTGACTACTTGCAAACACAGATAGCCCAATTTCACTCTGTCCTATTTTTAAATGAAGAGGAAATGTCTGGTGGCTGTAGGAATTCCTTGCGGTCTGTGTGATGTCTGGAGAAACGTCAGAGACAATGGGACGTGTGTGGCAGCAAGAACACACTGCTAGGTACAGTCACTTTTTCCCATGGATGAAAGTACTATTTGTTCTGTGAGGCTGCAGATTCCTTGAATCAAGCACACAGCTCACAGTATATGGTCAGGTACCGGCATCTTCTCTTTGGATTTACTTCTGCTACCTTTTTCAGTACAGAACTCAATTAAGGCAAGCTGATAGGCATGTCGGGGAAAGAAAAGAAGTAAAAGAGCAAATTTTCAACTTAAAGGAAACATTTTCAAACCAATTGGCAGAATGAAAGAAAACAGAAAAACTTTGTAGGTGATGTAAGCTATTGTGCCTTTTATACAGATATATTTATATGGAACACATATACGTATACACATATATTTATATGGAACAGTTGAGAGGAAGCCTCGATATTAGTATGTATTGAACTCAGCTTTCTCTATATTGAAGTCACGCTTATAGAAATTTACTGTTTTGGAAGAGCTCTTTATATTCATAGGGCCTTATTTGTACACAATAGGTTGATGTATATTCTGTCAGAGGCAGGCACAGGCATCTATTTTTAATGTATCTGGAGCACAGGAATCCATTTGACATGAAGAACAAATATTCCAGTCACAGTTTTTCTTCTAACACAATAGAGAAAATGTCAAAGAGCAAGATCCTCAGCTGTTCCGAATTGGCACAATCCCTCTGAGATTTCTTTCTGTGTTATGTATTAATAGTAGTTTTAAAAACTATTAGTTATGAAGAAAAATCTACTTAGCTGTCTCTGGTCCTGTGAGGGAATTGTGTTCCTTCTGTGTGCAAGAAAAGATTTTGTAAACTTTTATTCACTTTAGCAATGTCTGTATGCATGTTCCAGGTGGCTAATTTTTCAATTTCATGCTGAATTTCAAACACAGCTTCTCCTATGTTAATCCTATCGACACAGTGCTGACAGCACTTCTGCAGTTCCTATGTGTAGAGCTGTATAAAGCCCAAACCATAGCAATGCTTCTCCTGGGGAGTGAGAGAAGTCTCCAGATGTACGTTTAAGTGCTCTGCTTTTTCTAATCATTACAAGCAATTAGGCCTACAAGCTGCTTTTTTTTTTTTTTTTTTTTTTTTTTTTTTTTTTTTTTTTTTAATTTCATTGGTATGGGAGAAATTGTTCATTCCATATATTGAATTGTTTTCTTCTACAACCAGCCACATATACATGTTGGAGAGTACTGTATGATTATACAGAGTGTGACTCTGAGAGAAAGAAATCTGAGGATCCAGAGCTTGCAGGGCTACATTTCAGCCTTTAGAGGTATGTACATGCCAGTGTAGTGAGAATGTGTAACAGATATCTGTCCATATTATGGCTATGTGCAGATAGAAGCAGCAGCTGATAACCTTTCTGCTGCTAGCTTATTTTCCAGAGTGATGAACAGAGAGGAGGTAGTTGCATAGTCATTGGCAGCAGACTGAGGAAACTGCATCTCCAGAAACCCTCTGCAGATAAAGTTTGGGTCTCAATAAAGCTGAGCTTTGGAGTTGGAAAGCACCTGTGCAAGTTAGCAACGCTTGTGCTGCTGTCCTGCTCGTGTTTTGAATTTTACTGTGATGTTTTAGTAAGTAGAGCAGGCTAGACGATGGTGTTTTGACAGTGTGGGTGAACTCAGCTGTGAGGAGGGAGGGATCAGCAGCCCTCCACCACCTCAGTCCCCACTGGACTGGGAGACACGTGCTTGCCATTGAAGGCCAGCTTGGAGGTGCGTCCACTGTACTAAGGAGAAGAGTGTAAATGAATGCCAAACTATAATCGCAGCAAATTAGAAATTAAAAATCCTTTTTGGTTGAAAAGATTTGCAGAATGTATTTTAATCCTTTTGACTAGGGATAAATGGACCTTTTATCTTGCAGTGACAAAGAACCTCATCCCTCAAGGAATCATGCTGTATGTCTCAAAACTTTTTTTCAGTACACACAGTTTTGTATTTTAAGGCTACTGTCATGCTGTTAAACTAAGTCAGAGAAATTCAAGTGCCAAGGCTTTCATGCACACCCCCTGGTCTGTCCAACCCGGTTGCTATAATTTGTACTTGCTGCCTGTGGCCATTTTCTGTCTGGCTGTGATCATTTCTGTACCCAGAGGTAAACGTTCATTAACCTACAGAAGAGTTGTCCCAGCAGAGAAGGAAAATGGGGAGATTGTTCCAGACAGGGAAGGTCTTACAGGATCAAGGGCAGCTGTTCTGCTGCATTGAAAGAATGCAGACGAACAACAGTGGAGAGGTCAGGCTTCAGTGAAATGTAATACTTTTTTGTTTGCTGCAAAAGCAATTTAGCAGAACTTTATTCAGTGGGACCAGAAACATGGTGAAACTCTCACCTTTTCTGTTTCAGTATGAAGTGCTTCTAGCTTCCTTCAGATATGTATATCTTGAGACTTCTTTGAAAGTCTGACAAGAGTTGTGCTAGTAGCACTGTCTTGGTAAGCCTTTTCCATAACTGAGTATATTGAAATAGCCAGAACTGTAACCTGCAGAATACACAAAGAGGAATTGACCAGACACTCTAATTTCCTGCTAAAGTATTTCTGTAAACAGATCATTGAATGATGGATTCAGCTCAGATAGGATGTGCTTTCAAGAGCAAACTGAACAGTATGTTAATAGCTCTCCAAAATATAGTTGAAATTCAATTCCTGCTGGAATGTCAGAATATTTGTAGGGCTATCTCAGCATCAACTTGCCAAGTAACCTGTGACTAAAAGCTCTAAGGTATTTTTTGGACTTATAAGCAGAGGAGCATCTGGCAAGACCATGAGAATAATTCCCCTTGTTCAACTTTGGTGAGCCTCATGCCAAGTACTGTGAGTAGTTGTGGAGTCCATAAGGCAACATTCATTTTGAAAAATGAAGGAAGAGCAACAAAGAGCGCAATAATGATCACAGGAGATGATCTAATCATTTATTTTCTCCTCTATATCCTAAGAATCAACACAGAGGAAAAGCAGTTACCTTAGAGCAAATAGAGTTGTATTACAGTCCATGGAATTATATCCTGAATCTGTATCCTGATTCTCTGCAGGTTAAAAGAAGACGTAGTTCATTTACAGTTATTGTGTGCTTCTACAGCAGATGTGACTCAGGCTGTGAACAGAAGTGAGCTATGACTCCGCCTGTGTGTTCCTTTCATTTTCTTTTGCCTAGTGTCAGTCACAAAGGATTTGATGTTATTTTTGTTTTCTTTTCCAGCTGAAATAAAGATCTGTTTTAAGTACTACCATGGTGTTAGTGGAGCCCTCCGAGCTACTACTCCATGTATCACTGTGAAAAACCCTGCTGTGATGGTAAGTTTAGCCTACTTATTCATTGTATTTGTGCAGGATACTAACTGCCAGACAAACATAACAGTGTAAGTTCTCCTGTTTCACCATTAAGAGTGATTTTTGCTAGGGGGGTGGGGAAAAATATTGTGAGGCTGTAATCACCGAAATTAGGAAATACTTTCTTTGGTTTTGTATTTTTCTTTATACATTTTTTTCACTATAAAATAACATTTTATTATATATAATATAAATATAAAATAATAAAAAATAATATAAAATAACATTTTATTATATATAATATAACATTTAAGAGAAACTACTGAAATTAACTGAAATTCTTTGTACAAAGAATTTGGTTTTCCTTGCTTTCAGTTTTAGCTGCCAGTTTGATTTAACACCGTTGCACTGGTTATCTAATTCAAACTGAATTCTTATCAGAAGCCTCTACTTCTTATTTGCTAATATTAAAAATCAAATTGTTACTGAGATAGCAATTATGAGTATTAAAAAAGAGGAAGACTGTACAAAACTCTGCTTTTGCAGAAATGGTTGAATTTTTGGAGTGCTTGTATACCACCAAAATTTAGATGATTCTCTGACTTTCAACATTTATTGTTGCCTTCTTACAATTTCATTATGAGACTTGTTTTGAAACACTAGAGGTTTTAAAGTAGTTTTTTTAGTGATGTGAATACCTGTTGAAAGAAGAGCATTCCAAACTTGTATCCAGGTGCATTTGATTGAAGTAATCATCTAATACACTTAAATATGAAGTTGACAGAAATTTTCACAGTGCATTTGATTCATTGATTTTAGCTACCAAAAATTTAATATCATATCTGCCAGGATGTCTTGACAATTACTGCACTGAAGATACTATACAGCACAATTTAATCCACGTGATTGCTTCTAATTTGATATTGCACTTTTTCAGCATTGCATATTATATACAGGTGAATCTCATAGTGATATAATATCGTATGTACTCTCATGAACTTTGTCTCATTGTACTGAACGTTTTTTATTTCTCTTAGAATTACTGACCTAACTGATAGCATCACTTAATTGTTTTTCCTGTGAACAGTATAGGCTCACAAGATATATGAACTCTTGATACTTTATAGAAGAAAGTATGCATCTGAAATTAGTGTAGCTTGTATCATTTCTGGATCTTGTTGTACAAACCCCCAGTGTTTTTTCAAGGATCATTACACAACAGGACATGAGAATGTCTGTCTTTGAGTATGTGATTATTTACTTGGAATTTACCAAAGATCTGTCTTTCTGAGTCAGTAGTCAGTCCTGTGAGGTTAACTTGCTGTCACTATTGGTTCTCCAAGTCGGGTCGAGGCATGCCCATTCCTTCTGGGTTTTTTTAAGTTGTGGTTAAGTTACCTGCTAACTCAGATCTTGCTAAATTTTCACATTGCATGGTACGGTGGGAATTATGTTTCTGGTTTAATTCATACTAACGGCATATTAAGCCAGGAACGTTAGTCAGTCTTATTTTGGGATAAGCAGTTAATGTTGTGCTATGTTCGTTTGAGCTAGTGAAAAATCAGGTCTCCTCCAGATGGTCAGTCTGGTCAGACTGAGTTTAACCTGTTGCATTTTTGATGCCCTCATCATTTTACTACCAGCTGTTGCTGCTGTAGCAGCTGTTGCTGCTGAAGTATCCTTATAAAACCATTGGAGCAATGGTACTGCATGCTCAGTGATGAGGTGACAGCATTCTGGTGAGAAATGCTTGTCCCTGAAAATGATGATGAATCACCACTGCAGTGATGTGATAGGGAAACGAGACGGGCTGGAGCCATGCAACTTCCTGCCATGGTCTGCTCCCTCATGAGACCTCTGAAGCCCATGAAGACATCAAACATCGATGTCATTGCGGTTCCTTTATCACTTTATTAACTTGACTGCTCTTATATGCTAAGTATTAGAATTTTGCAGTGGAAGAAATTCCTCAGTCTCAGTTGCACCACACCACTTACTCTGATTTGCTTTTGTTCGCTGATCATTGTGAGAAGTATTTGAAAGATAATGATAATGCTAAAAGCAATATTGAAAGGACGTTTTTAGTGCTTTCTTCTTGGGTTGCACGTCTTGGTCCAGCAACCACTGCTCGAGAAATGCTTATCAGTCCTGTAGCTTCTAGTTTCGCTTTCAGACAATTCCTCAAGTGCTAAAAACTGCTTTATGTAGTTCAACATGTAGGCACGGGTATACAACTTTGTATTCAGCTTACTTTGTTTGGTAGATCAGGTGACTTCCTATTTTATCACACATATACATTCCTAATGTGGTTCGGATTAAGCTTTTTCAGCAGACTGTGTGATCTCTTCTGTCTGGGACTGGGTGCACTGCCTATGGAAAGAGCCATTTGACTTGAAATATAGCTCTGTTGATGTTTTTATGTTAGATTATTCAGTTGGATGCACATCTCTGCCTTGAGACAAATTCTTCTGTCAATTGAAAGGACTGTTCAGTGGGTATAGCTATTTAGACATTAATACATGTGTTTTGAAGAGTGCTTTATCTGGTCAGGGATTTCTGTAGAAACCAAACCTGAAAATCTGTGCAGTATGCGAGTAGCATTTAGATTACATTCATAGTTGTATATTTGATGCAATTCTCTGTTTAGAAAAACTTTCCATTCATAAGACTGAAGGCTTTCTTTAGACTTTTTTCTCTTTTGCCATTTTTATTGCGAAGTAAATTGCCTTCCTGTGAAAAGTGACAAAAATTTTGCCTGCTGTCACTGACTAGCTTTCATACATATTACCAGTCCATACTGTTGATTTTATTTCACGGACGTGAAACCAATAAGAAAATAGGGTTTCCCCTTCTGTGATTGATTGTTTGGAAGATATCAAGGGTGAGTTTATTACAACACTTAGCATAACTAATATGTGCTTTCCTAGAAATGGATGCTGCAGCTTTGTCTGTCCATGGTAATAGGCAGTACTGGGTACAATTCTTCTTCTGTGTACTTCTTACTAATTACGTAATGATCTTTGAACGTGTGTAAAACAGATGAAAATGTATGTGGCTTCTTATTTCTTTTTCCCCTTCAGATGGGAGTAGAAGGCACAGAGGAAGGTGCTTCTGGAGCCCAGCATTCTCGGAAGTTAGTCAGCTTTACACTATCAGGTATAAAAACAAAACAAGAACAGAAACCCCACAGAAATCAATGTTTTACAAGGCATTAAAAAAAAAAAAAAAAGAAGTAATTGCTGTTTTAAAGAAATGTCAAAAATAGAGTGCTTTTCTTCCTTAGCTTCTGTAGGAGCACACTCTAGTGGCTTGAAAGATGTCATATCTTTACAACTTCTGTTTGAAAACAAGTCAAAATCATGAATTTCCAGATTTAAAAGCAACTGAGTTGATAGATCTTGACATGAGAAATTTTCACAATTTCTAGTTGGTGCAGCAAAGAAAAAAAGGTTAAATATATAGCCTCTAAATACAGTGCAAGTTGGTTCTGTCACTTTTATGAAAGTAGTAACAAAAAAAAAAGGAAAGAAGAGAAAGGAAAGGAGAAGGAAAAAATCTTTTCTTGCAACAGAGCTAAGCTGTCATACAGAAAAATAGCTGAAGGATACTGTATATCAGCTATGCTTGTTTTGATTCGCACTTTATTCCACAGGAAATTGCTTCTAAATAAATAGCTGACAGTGGAAACATTTAGGGGCTGTAAGAGTAGAGCTGAAGAAAATGTTTTTTTGCTATGGTCTTGCAGCAGTTATCAGGATAGAACTAATATGTTCTATCAGAATAATTGTTTTGTTAAATCTGAAAAACCTGTGTTTAACAGAATGTTATGACTCAACTTGAGGAGTTCCCTAAATTCAATTCAAAAGTGTATTGACTTACAGGTCTGTAAGGTGCTCTCCAGAATGTTTTTTGTTTCTCATCCAGAATGTGGCAAGTCTGCATTTTGTTGTTGTTATCTTAATGTCTTTAAAAAAAATACAAACAACAACAACAACAACAAAATTTTATCTTTAATGGATTTTTATTCTACAAATCAGAGAACATTCTGTTTTTTGCAAGTTGTGATGAAAGATAATTGTCTAACATCTTTCAAGTAAGTATTTTTGAAGCTAAGATGAACATTCTGGTCCCGGCTGCTTGTATGACTGTGGTAAGAGCCAAGCACGGTAGCTCTAAATATAACATTATGTTAAACTTTATATTATGGCAAATCAAATCTGAACCATGATTCAGTGTTACTATTTCCTAGGTTTCATGCCATGATGCTTAAATGTACAGGTCTGGATTTTATGGGTTTTTTTTTTGTGTGTGTGTGTGTGTGATTGGTTTGTGAAATACTTCTTGTGAAAAGAAAACAAATAAAATGCCATGTTTGAGAATTTGTCTGTATTATTTTAGACTTAATTTGCAGGGGCTGTGATATTGAGGTTTCTCTAGGAACAAAGAAGCATTTTCAGAAAACCTTGCCTCCTTCTATGTTGGATAGCTTATTCCCAAGTTGAGAGGACATGTGCATCATAATCCAGAACAGCCTTGATAATGAATGGTTTGTTTTAGGGCAGAAATACCTTACATACTGAGAAAAACGTTTGTACCTCAGTTAAAAGTTCACGCTGTAATTTTGTTTTAGGAATGACTGGAAGGCAAAATGTAAATGAGGATGTCCTTGCTTTTCCTCTGTATATCCTCTTGGGAAAACACTTGACTTCCTGCTTCAAGCATCTTCTGTACGCTGGATCCAGTTACTCTATGAGTAATTTTCAACTGCATTATTTAGTGGTTTATGTGAATTAATTTCCTAGGTAATATTTTAAAAATGGCCTACTTCGTGAATTAGCTTTCATTTACTCCGTTCCTTTTTCTTTCCTTGTTTTGCTTTAAAGATATTAGAGCAGTTGGACTTAAAAAAGGCATGTTCTTCAACCCCGATCCTTATTTAAAGATGTCCATCCAGCCGGGCAAGAAAAGTACATTTCCTACATTTGCTCATCATGGTCAGGAAAGAAGATCGACTATCATCAGTAACACAACTAACCCTGTTTGGCACAGAGAGGTAATGTATGCCTTTTGAGAGCTCTCTGCAAGTTGATGCAGTGTATTATCTTGTATCATCTACCGGGCTTGTATTTTCTCTTTATGCATCAGTCTTTACTCTCTAAAGGCTGGGAAGTTATTTTGTAGCTAGCTATTTAAATGGACACAGAAATTGTAGTAATTTTAGGAACCCTGTTGTTGGATAGAAACAGCTATCATCTGTGTGATTATGCCCTGTGTTTAAGCAGTATGACTGTGAGGTTTTTCATTTGCTTCTCTGCTAAAAAGAGTTGGAATCGCTCAGCAGCCCAATCGATCAGTTGAAATTGCAAAAAATAAATTAATTAAAATGAATCATATGTTGTGAAATGACTCTTTAAGAAAAGGTACAATAAGTGGGCATTTATGCCTAGCGATGGCAATGACTGCTCATTTGGAAATGATATCCTCACTGTGCATAGCAGGTGGCAAGCATTCAATTTTGCCAGGCAGAGTGGATGCTCTTTGGTGCTCTCTAAGTGCTGCTGTGGAAAGAAAAGGCTGGGGAGGCATCACAGTGCAGCTTAGAAAGGACTGGGGGCAGAAGGTGGTTGGGCAGAGCCCAGTTTTTCTGATTTATTGATTTTGGCTGAGCTGAGCAGGTCTCAGAGAAGGAACTTTGAACTACCTGTAACTCTCTGAGCATAGAAGAGCAAGGCCACATCTTTGAAATGCTTGTGTGGGAAAATGGCAATAGTTTGTAGGTGTTTCAGGTCTGGCCAGCAGCCTTCTTGGTCTGTGCATGTTTTCCAATGATGCCTGTGCTATTATTTGAACGTTACTGTATTCTTTAGGAAGGTTGGAAAATTAAGCTGGACTGTGGGGATGCTTCCAGAAATTATAATTTATTATTATTATTATTAAATCAAAGGAACAGTAAAAAAGAATGGAGCCGGGCCAACATTAGCACTACTCTGGGGTATTCTGTTGTGGGAAAGACTCTGGATTTGTGGAAAACTTAAGATCTTAAAAACCAGGACTTTTTGTCTCTAAATAGATTCCTCACCTTCCTATCCATTTGTTTCTTCACTCAGTACATAGGAAGAAAAACTATTCTTGCTCTTTCCCCTTTTTTTTCCCCCTTCAGTTCTTCTTGTTTTCTGAAGCTTATTAGAAAAGTGATAATGTTCACTGGTGCACGTATTACATCAGCTTGCTTTAACTGCTGTATCTTCCCTGTAGCAATCTCTGATGATACCAGCTTATGATCTCGTTACATATGCTGTCTTAGTGGTGCAGAATTGATCCAATTTTATATCTACTCCTTTCTGCAAAATCGCAGTTTTGTACCAAACCAAGACACAAATTTTAAGTTATATTTATCACAGCTCTACCCAGCATGATAATGCTTTTTTTATTCCTGACCTAATCTAATTATTGTTTTTTGACATTTTTAGCCACTGTCTACAACTGAGCTGAAGAGTTATTCCTTCTTTTGTTTCTTATTCAATACATTATCATCTAGCTAACTAGGTGCTTATTACTTTGTATTCAGCTTTTGATTTTCTCAGAGGTCTTAAAGGTGGCAAACAGGAAGTGTAACAGATGACTTTAGCTTTTCAGTAGATTTTACCCACACTATTTTTGTTTGAATTTTTAAAAAATCTAGAGGTTCCTCAGCCTGCTTTTTTGTTACAATTTGTCATCGCATTACATTATGTGTGCATCCCTGCTGACATGCCTGCTCACATATGTGCCCAGTACCGCTGTTGAATCTTGACCATTTGCAGGATTGGCAGAACAGCACAGATGTCAAGTATGAATTATTCATGAGCATAAGGAAATTTGAAGCTAGGCTGAAGAGAGTGACTGTGACAGTGTTCCCTCAAAGGGGATGGTGGAAGGGAAATCTTACCAGACATAACAATTTTTTAAATAAATTAATGCCATCTTGTATAAAGGTCCCAAGTTCAGGAAAAACTGTTGGAACTTATTGGGAAAATTTTTGAACTTTGGAGTGAAAATCTACAGAAAATTATCCTTCTTTATTTTCAGTGCTCATGAAAATATGGCCTACAGATTGCTGTACTGATATCCTGTAGCACATTCTAAAAAGGACCACAAAACAGGATGTTGGAAGGAAAGTTTGCTAAACGTGTCTGGAATGAAACTCTCCTTTCTTCTGCACTGACCCTGCTAGTCTTCTATACTCTAATAGTGTACAGTGAATATTTCTTATCTTTGTTATTTCTACTATCCATCTTGAGGCAGCCTCTAGGACGCGTTGTTTTCTCTGTGCTGAATAGGACCATCAAAGTGCTGTTGTCCAGTGCAACTTCTTAGTGAGAATATATTTTCTAGGAATGGTAAAAAGGTTTTTGCTTTCTAGCTAGTTACACATGCAAAAATACAGTGCTTAATAGTGGTGTTGACATTATTTTATAGTATGGAAGGCATTATTTTATAGTGTGGAAACCACTGTAGTCCTCAGTTAATGCTGTCAGAGTTTACCACAAGCTAGTAGTAATTGCATACACGCTTTCTGAATAAAGGTAATAAAATCGTGTCAAATATGTTCTTTCCTTCCAGAAATATTCTTTTGTTGCACTTCTAACAGATGTCCTGGAAATTGAAGTTAAAGACAAATTTGCCAAGAGTCGACCAATCATCAAACGCTTTCTTGGGAAGTTAACTATACCAGTTCAGAGACTGTTGGAGAGGCATGCAATTGGGTAAATTAATACATTCTTAATGCTTGAGGGAGACTCAACATATAGGTTGCTTTCACAGAGCAGCCTTTCTGGCTTACTGGCACAGTCACAATTTGTATTGCAACAGTAGTAAGAAATTTAGTTGGAATTTTAATATCCTTAATGCCTAATTGGAAGATGGTGGTGTTTCTCACCCCATTCTGAATGCATGTGTATGTGTTTGCATGTATGTTTCTCTGTAATTTGTTTCCAACTCTGGTATCTTTACACAAAAAATCGTTGCTATCACAAAAATGTTAACTTATGGCTTGCCAACCTAGAAACAGAGCATTATCAAAAAGCTATATAATTGTGTGCAAATTTCTTAGAACAAGCAAGTTTTATTTTCTCACTTTTGTTACTCAATGAAGTTGTCAGTATAACATTGAGAGATTTAATATTTAATCAACTAGTTGGTCAGAACTGCAAAGCTGTGAATCTTTATTTTTCAGTGCTAGTAATACTAACAAATTAAAATTGCCTCATGCTATGAACAGAGCACTGATGAGACTCAAAATTGTCCATTTTTAAAAAATTGTTCATTTTTTAGATAGCTATCTGTTATTTTTTAAAGAAGAAACTCAACTTGAAAATTTTAAAGGTATTTTATACTTTGAGATGATTACTGGAGTAGGTATAGTACAGTCAAGTGGATGATCAAAGTAGGCCATTGGAAAACCATACATACTTGAAAGAGCTTGGGACCTTGGTGCTTAGGCACTGTGATACCTTGCAGAGATGAAGCAAACGGTTGGAGGTTTGCAAGAGATGCAGCAGTGTAAGCAAATGTGTAATTTCACATTTAAGAGAATGTAGTAAGTGTAGGGTTTGTTGTTTTGCCAGAGACTTTTCTCAGTTGTATGTTCTGTTTGGCAGATTAGAAAAAATAATTTCTCAGACAGAGAGAGAGACAGAATTGTTCCAATGTATTTTGTATAGGAGCTAACTCAAAGCTAATGAGTTGCCATTAATTTTAAATGGCCACAGGATGAGGCCTTTGAGAAATGATGGTAAAAGAAAATGTCTGTATTCTTCCTTGAGAGTTTAAGGGAATGGCAGCATCATCAAGCTTTTGCACAAAAAGCAGGATATAAACAACTGGCCTCCTTTTTCACAGATATTCTCATCAAAGTAACAAGTTGCATAACTGGAGAAAAGCAAATTCAGTTTGAAAACAGTTTTCAGCTTTAAGTTTCCAAAGTGGTGATTACACTGGTAAGTAAAGTAAGAAAAAAATTGTAAGAGTAGCTTAAGATTCTGATGATGTCTTCTGGTAATTTATTTTTAAAAAAGAAAAAGAAGCTCTGCTTAAGTGCATAAAATTTAACTTTACTAAGAAATGCTTCATCTCTGAGTTTCAACAACTTATAATATATTGGAGAAAACAGCTTTTTCTAATAAATTTGCACACTATGGACACTCAAAAATAGGAGAATGATGTTGATTTCAAGACCGAGTTCAGGGATTTCATTTCCATGCTGTATCCCAAAATGTTTTGGCATATAGCTGGGATTCCTAGTAGTGGGAAGTAAAGCCTTTTTGCTACATTCGTCAGTTCTTGTTTGTTTTTTTCAAACCAAAATTGTGGAAGACATTTCCTGTTTTCCTCTCCATACTTCTGTTTAGAATAGGAAGGGCAGTATAATAAATATGTAGCAAGAATATAGGTAAGTATTCAGTTTTGTTTTGCCATCCTCATGTTAAAACTAACATTAAAACTAATGTTCTTAAAGGTATTTTTCCTATTTATCTGTAATTTATTTGCCTGTTTTTTTTTTTTTTTTAATACCAATCAGTTGTCAGGTGCCTGTTTTCCGAGATATGCTAAGGACAGACAGTCTTTCACTAGAAGTCTTGCAAAGGGAAGGAGTGGGCAGTACAGACAGGAAGTAGAACTGTACCACGTATACAATCAGTTGTTATCATTCTCTTATTCTAGTTTTTGTCAAGTGAGTGAAACATACTCACCCTCTTCCTCTTTATTTTTATGATGTCAGTAACGGTTGAAATCCTCTACTGGATTAAAATGTGAGCTTGAAATACATGTCAAAGGAATTATAGTGTACCATATGCTAAACTTGCCTTTGCGTATATCAGTATGAATGAAAAGATGAACTCCAGAACTTTTTAGAACTTATTTTTAGGCATATTGCAGTAGACTTTGGCATTTAACTGTTGGTATAGCTTACAAGTTTTTTTTTTCATAGTGAGATGGCCAATGTCTCCTTAAATTCCATGGAAAATACCATACATGAGCTTAAGAATGATCTGTATTGATTTAGCTTAGTCCACAGTAGATGTTATTTATGTCATGGCTTTCTCTAACCTTTATTGCCTATGGCATTGTAAACCTTATGTAAAAGAATCTTCTGAAGGCACTCCCAAGTCTAACTGAAGAATTGCAGTTGCAGTGCTGAGCAATGAATCTGTGACACAGATTCAAGAAACATATCTGTGATGATTTGAAGTCGTGTTCTGTAGAGCAATGTGGAGAGGCTGCTTTGCCTTAAGTTATCTGCTCAGGACTTAAAGTAATGTTTGTAGCTAACCAGCTGCAGTTTATCTTAGGAGTTGCCTTTTAGTCTATCGCTTGTTGTAGTAAGAATGCTCTCAGTAAAGAAGAGGTGTTCGTACCAGTACAAATGCAATTGCAGAAATAGCACTGATTTTCCATGGTGGTTTTCAGCAGCCCCCTCCTCTCTCTTCAGCTGTGTGGAAGGTGATTGGGACTGTACATTCTGGCCGTGCATAGTAAGAATCTAGGATCATATGCTAAGTCTAAAGCTGATACAGGTACTTAATCAAGTCTCAGTCCTACTGAAGTCAATAACACTTGTATTTTATGTGAAATCTGAGCATTAAAAGCTTTTCTAAATGACAGTGTGCTTAGGCAGATACAGAAGTGCTTTATTGAATAAGAACTAAAATTTGAAGAGGTTGTTTGGCTTTTTTGTTTGTTTGTTTTACAGTAGAATCCACAAGGGGGCAGAAGGCTTTCAAAAAGTAAAAGGTTTTTGTTAATAATAAAAGAAACTTTTTGTTAAGAGGGAGGAGAAGATAAAGAAAAAAGATCCTTTTCAATGTGGTCTCTTTTTGAATTAAAAACAGATTTTGAAATGTGTGAGAATTCCACAATACTTATTTGAAAAATATTGTCATTTGTTAGGCTCTTTTAGATGTTAACAAAAAGTAAGTTACACCATTGTTGATGTTTGTGCTTTTCCACACAAGCCAGTGAGTGCGGTTAATTTTTAAGGTGTTAATTAAGTTACCTTCTATCACACTGACTCTGCCTGATAAGCACTTCTCATACAAAGTGTTGGAAAAATAAAACCAGTTAAAATTTGAAAAAATCAAGCAAGAGACCAGAAAAAGCAACCCCAAAGCCAACAGTACCTTTATTTTTGCAGTGACCAGATTCTCAGCTATAATCTCGGTAGAAGGCTGCCAGCAGATCACGTAAGTGGATATCTCCAGTTCAAAGTGGAAATCACATCTTCAGTTCATGAAGGTGAGAATTTGGCAGTGACCTGGGTCTCCAAATAGTTAAATGAAGAGTAGTTACATATATTTGTATTTCTAAGGTTATCTATCAAAATTAAGTGTCTCATTTAGTTATGTGGCCTCGATTCTTGCTTTTTGCTTGTGGGATTCATATTTTAGATATGTTGGACATGACTTGGGAGATTAGATTTCCAAAACGCCAACATTCATTCATTTACCCTGGGTAGATTCCCATTCTTTGCAGTAGAAAAGTCTGATTTCCTCAAAATAACTGCTGTGTATAGAATTTGATATCTGTGCGCAGTCTGTGATTTTGAATGTGGTCTTAGATGTTGATTTGCGTAGTGCTAAGGACAACTAGTTTTATGTAAATCCCACTGCTGAGTATAAGAGAGATGCTGTAGAAAAAATGGTTCCTTTTTTTGTGAGGCTGGTTTTACAGACAATTTGGCAAGATGCTTTGCAACGCTGTGCCTTTTGAAAGCAAAATGGGAGTAATATTTTATGCCTGTGAAATTTTGCTAAAGACTAGGATAGATTTGTACAGAGAAAGTTCTGTGATTGCTATTACGATAGTGTAGATATCTGCATTATTTTAACTGTATTTTCTTCACTTAGTTGTCTGATTAAAATAAGTCTACATCTTGAAAGATGTGTATTTTTATATCCCTTCTGTGATGCTGCAAAAGTAGAATGAGCTGATGGTGGCTGCATTACATATTTCATATTCAATCTTGGTGTCCCTGCAGATGCTTCGCCAGAAACAGTTGGCACTTTGCTAGGAGTGAACTCTGTAAATGGAGACTTGGGCAGCCCTTCTGATGATGAGGACATGCCAGCAGGACATCACGATACTTCCACGGTGTGTTCCAACGGTCCAGTCCTTGAGGACTCTTCTGGAGAAACAATCCAGAGGCATCCTTTAAGGACTAGTACAACACTAGAAACAGATCAGGATGAATTAACCTCTGGTGCTTCAAGATCGTCACCTACAAGAGGTCGCCAGGACTCACTGAATGACTACCTGGATGCAATAGAACACAATAATCATCCCAGACCTGGAACGTCTGCCTGTGGCGAGCGTCCTCGTGGAGCCTCTCCAAAACTGAGGAGTAGCTTCCCTACTGACACAAGACTTAATGCAATGCTTCACATTGACTCAGATGAGGAGGAGCACGAGCTACATCAGGACCTGGGTTTCCCATCTTCCTTGGAAGATGATGGTGGCTTAGTAATGCTTAATGGTGCTACTAGAAATGTTGAAAGAAATGGCTTAAGTAACTCATCAGATCAGGTAACACAAGGGCCTGCAGAGAATGAAAATGTTTCAGCCTCTGAAGCTCCTTTGCCCTCAACTGATGACCAGCCAGAGAGCCTCCCGGAGCTTCCACCATCACAGTTAGTTGAAGGTGAAAGCCTGCAAGGTTCTCAGAGTGAAACACCGGCAGAGCAGGCTGGCAATGACTCTTACGCTGTGCAGGAGGCAGAGCAACCTCCCAGTAGTACAGACACAGGAGCTGCTGATGCTGCTGCTGGGAGCAGAAGGGGTGTTAGTGAAACAGAATCTATTGATCAAGGGTCTGAACCTTCCCAGCTGTCATCAGAAACTGAGCAGAGCGATCCTGCTCGCACAGAAAGTGTCAGTGAGGCTAGCACCCGGCAGGAAGGGGAGAGTGATGTGGAAGGGGCAGACAGCTCCTGTAATGAAAGTATAACTGTGCGGCGTTCTTCAGTTGAAATGCGCTCTTCTTTTGAAAGTGCCAGGTTTCCTGAGACTCCAGCGTTTTCTTCTCAGGAAGAAGAAGAGGGAGCTTGTGCCGCTGATGTGCCCAGGACTGAGCCAGTTGCTGAAACACAGGACTCTCCAAGTACTTCTGGTTCTTTGCCTGCAGTACAGTTACCTCAGGAGGAAGTACAGGAGGCTGAGGGAGGTGAATTACAAGACCAAGAGGATGCAGAAGAAGTCTGGCAAAGAAGAAGAAGCCTGCAGGCAGCAGCTGCTAATAGCCAGTCTCAGGATGAAGAAACAGAAGGAGCCCGAGCACCTTGTGAGGGTGCCACAGCAGAGGTTGAAGGAGCTACTGGAGGTAACAACTGTAGGAGCACTTTATGACGTGACCTTTCTGCAGTCAAAAAATACTATTTAAAAACAAACATCTGAAATTAATGAGTTCTCGATGTCATTATACTTAAAGATTTGTCTTTCTTTGAGACACTGCTTTGTTTAAGAGACCCTTAAACATCAAAACTGAAATATTTCAGAACAAGACATTTGTTTTGAAATTGGATATTGGATATTGGATATATAATTCTCAAGAGAGTATTAAGAGGGAGAATGAAGAGGAGGAATGTATTTCACAATATTGTCTTGCTTGCTCATCAGAATGGTAATTGGGAGGTCACAGATGGATCCCCAAACTATACAATGCAATCTGGAATTCATACTTAGATCTTTTCTCCAGCATGTTTATAGGGGGAAGAAAAAATATATATAAGCACTAAAACGTAAGGATAATTAAAAAATAAAATCTGAAAAAGAGTTATAAAAAGAGTTATTATTATATATATTATATATATGTTAGCCACACCTCAGCTTCTGTCTTACCTTTTGCACTTTATTGTCAGTTTAGGCACGTCCTAACACAGCAGGAATCATGGGCAGAGAGGAATGCATTACTCAAGACTGTAAAGCTATTCCCAATTGTAAGATTAGTTTAACAGTTGAGGATTTTGACTCTCACTAAAATCACTGGAAGTTGACTTGTGTCCATAGTAGATTTTTTCAAGCTAATTTCACAATTTATTACCCATTCCCTTTCTTCGGGGATTGAAGTGGGTATGATCAAGTGCATGCAACCAAGTTGGATTTCTGGACACCTCTTTTTAATATCATTTCAGATGTTTTGGTTAATTTTCCTGTCTTTGAAGTACCTCCTGTTCTGGGCGTGTTTGTAGTAAATCATATTTATCCTAAAAGTTTGTTGAAAATTAGTAATCTTGAAGAGCAAATTATTTTTTCACTTTTGAGTGCCAAATACCGCACCAGAAATCTCAGGGAACACTAGCTGTGAATCTGTTAAAAGGGGAAAATGAGGTAAGCACAAATGAATTCTCTTCCTTAAACCCTGCACTTACTTTTACTTCTGTATTGGTTGTGGTTATACCTGTTTGTGGGAGAAAAATCATAGGTCTATTCATTTCTTCTCCCCATATGCAACTCTTTGATTTGGAAAGAATTAATTTTGATATTAAAATAACAAACAGTACAATACATTCTTTTGCGTCATTTTCTAGACATTTGAGACTCTTTACTAGTAGTCAGATCCTAGTAATCAGTCAGATCTTAGCTAATCAATGTTGCTGCACCAAGGAAAATCGATGAGAAGTCTCATCTCACCTCAGGTTTCTGTGGTGGCCATGTCCTTTGCTGGAATATGGCTTGGGTAGACTTGACTTACTAGACTGTAGACTTGACTTACTTTGCCAGAAAAGCCAATGACTCTTAGGTATATCCTAAAATGTCATAGTCCTGCGGAAGTTTTTGCATGTCTTGTTCACTTCAGAGACAATTGTAGGTTTTACCCACATTGACTGAGACATAATCTGTGGGCATTTTGATTCTAGGTGCTCAAGCCAATGGCCATCAGCCCTTAAGGTCACTGCCTTCAGTACGTCAGGATGTTAGCCGGTACCAGCGAGTGGATGAGGCACTACCACCAAGTAGGTTCCTCATACTTTAATGGAGGGATAAGCTGCCAGGATGCCATTAATGAGATCTCATTATGTTTCATTTTTAAATGTGAGAACTGCAAATGAACATCTGAGAAGCTCTAAATGAGGAAGGGTGATGATTAAGTGTAGTGCTGTTCCCATGGAAGGCATTGTGCTCAGTCTGCAAACTATCAGAATGTGTGATGAATAATTGTACCTGATGTAAAAGGACTTGCTAAGCAAAATTTGCAGAATATTAGGAAGGTGTGATGCTGCCTTTTAAAAATGCAGAACAAGTGAGGAGGGAAGTGAGGTGACAGGCTTTGTGAGGGGGCAAGATATCAAGCACACTGAAATCTATGAGAATGTCATGTGTGGTGATGATTTACAAAGAAACAAATAACATCTTTCTGTCTTTACAGATTACATGAATTGTGCTTTCCTTGCATTTTCTGAGGCACTGTCAAAGGCTTTTGAATAAACTTGGATGTTATGGAATTGTTGGATGAGCTAAATTGATTGAGGAATTGTTGTTTCTATAATATACATAGAAAATACATTTTTCCCAATTTTGAACTGATGCATTTGATTGAACTTGTAGCAGTGATGATCTGTTTAGTATTAGATACTTAAAAAGATGGATCGGATTAAAAACAAATGTACTTAACTAATGGGGAAATGAAAGACAGTGAAAACAAAAGAAAGAAAAAATCAAATTTCAGCCCAGTGAACTCAGTGACAAAGCTCTATGATTTTAAAGAAACCAGGAATTCAGATATTACATATAGATATAATAATGTAAAATGAATAGAACCCAATCCACTGTGTGGAAAGGGACTGAGTTTGCCTGGGAACTGGAGGGGGTGATTGTAGAGAGTCATGTAGCAGAACACGGATAGAAATGTGTTGGAATGTCAGGGCACTGTGAATATTTTGCTCCCTGCTGATTCTGTTATAAACAGTGCATATAACAAATTAATCCTCTGCACAGGTCCTGAAGTCAATTAACTGCCAGCTCAATAATCCAGAGTTATTTTTCACAAAATAGTGACTGAGAGATATACTTCATTTGAATTTTTATCATTTTCATACTGAAAAGGAGAAAGAACATTATGGAAGATCAGATGTAATAAGTTAGGAATGCTTAGAGATAACCTCTGCAGTACCATGGTTGTGTGTTTCAGAAGCAAACTGTACACTACAGTATCTACTCGGGAAAAATATTGTAATATTAATGGAGAAGGTCTGGCTGTGTGGAATTGTAACATTTCTCACATTTGCTGGGATTTTACACAGTCACGCACAGGCATATAAATGCTTACACACCAGCATACACACCTTTAAAATCAAAGCCCAATGCCAGAGTTATGGTAATCATTCATCTGTTAATGTGAATGAAATCTTAAATAGTAATTGTTTCCGAGATTTGGTTTTTCTCCCTGCATCTCTGCCCAGAACAGATAGGGCAGGATATACCTGGTATGTCTGTCTAGAACATGTAACACTGTGCTATAACATTCCTAGGGAAAGGTCAGCAAGTAACATGGCACACCCTTGATTAAATACAATTTTGCAGTTCAGCAAGCTAAGTTCTTTGTAACACTATTGATAGCTACAATTAGACTATGGCAAAACATCCTTGTCATCACAGTAGTGATGGAGGCGCGCTTTATTTACTTCAGGACCCGCTGCACAATTGTTCAGACTTGTGTAGTTAAAGATGAATGAAGGCAAAACTTCTTTTTTTCCTCAAACACGTTACAGAGGTGATGACTGTGTTGGAACTGGGCATATATAATCACCACAGGAGAACGGTCCATTGCTATACAGTGTGTAAGGGTTTGAAATCTAAGCTGAATAATGAAATGTGTGTATTTTTATTTCATCAGTAGATAGATACTGATCTTTTGCTCTGAAGCATCTGTTTCTGTCTTTTTAATTTTTTTTCTTTATGGGGAGAAAAAACCGAAGGTCCTTCAGAGCATGCTGAAGTGTTTGGTTTTTTGAGTGAGAAATTAAATTATTTTTTCTTCTTTCGGAGTAACTTTGAAATGTGTTACCTTTTAAATAGCAAGTGAAGTGATGAATCCATAACCTTGGCATTGATGGCAATTTTGTTTATTTTGAACTTTTAATTCACAACATAATGCAAAATTGTGGGTTTTTAATGTGGACTTGGAGAAAGATGGAAGTCAACACATTTATTTTCTCCTGGAATTGAAATTTATTCCTTAAAACAATTCTCTTTATTCCTATCCCATTATGTTGCTTTCTACGTAGTTCATTTACAGTAATAATACTCTGATCACTAATAGGCTGTTCTGATCATGCACCATAGAGAAATAAGAACAACTGCATTGTGGTAGGCTGAAATACACAGCAGTCATGCAGATATGACACATTCCATTTATCTCATACTCTGTTTGTTGGTTTTTTTTAAACTTCTTTGTGATTCAACTCAGACCCCACACTGTCATGCAGTGAGCCACTTAGCTACCTCCAGTTGCTGACATAAATCAGAGCACACATACAGCCTGAGGTTTTAAGGCTGTCACTGTTCAGTAGCTGACAGTAGAATTTCATTTTTTCTCTTGCTGTAAAGATATTTCTGTCTTCTCTCCTTGCAAAGCAGCGGTCATTTAGAATTGGTTGCCTGCCTCTGGTTTTTAAATTTTTCTGCAGTTACTGAAGTTTCCACGTGGACTTGAAATATAGAAAGTCTCTTCTATAAACCTTTTGAGCTTTTAAAGACTTCTTTTTATCTGACACGCTAAATAGGTTCCAGGTTTTTTGTGAAATCACATGTATTCTATGGATAGAGGGGAAGAACTGCATTCAGGGGGTCTCACACTGCCATCTTCTTTCTTTCAACATGACTGAATGTTAGATATTGTTAATGAAACAATGGTTCCAATTTTACAGTAGTTACTGATATCGTATTCTGGTCTTCTACAGCACCAGTTGCAGGAGACCATCACGATCTGTGTTAGACTTATAATATTGTTTGTAGTTTGTGTAGCAAAACCAGCATTATAGTTACTGCTTGGACAACAAGGTGAATTTGCTATGATGATTGCAGGATCTGCAATAGTGCAACATGCATTTAGTATATGAAGGTGTTTGATAACTATAATTCACCTTCCTTGGCAACACTGCTTATTTATATCGTAGGTACATGCAACACCCAGGAAGAGCGCTGGCAGCTGTTTCATTACTGCTACTTTTAGCTGGGGAAAATCAGTGACAGGTGTGTCAAGCTTTGCAAGATTTTTGACGTTTGGGCATTGGCTTATTGTACTCAAATAAGCCTCAGAGATCTCATCTTTAAATGCTCTAGTCTAAGAGAATTAGATTAAATACATTTATTTATTTTTTCTAGGACAATCACTGTTTATTGAGGGCTTGTTTTTATTCATTTCTCTATGCTGTTACATAGGGGTTCCATAGAACTCATGGAGAGTTTGATTTAGGGGATAAAATCAGGGAAAAACTGTGTCTTTTAGCCCTTCAGTGAGAAAGTTTTGTGCTGAAGTCATCCTGTAAAAGATATAACAAAGAAGTAAAACAAATGCTGAAATAAAGCCCAAACTCCCTATAGTTCACAGTATTTTATTACTATTTAGACTGGGAGGCTCGAATTGACAGCCATGGACGGATATTTTATGTTGATCACGTGAACAGGACAACAACTTGGCAGCGACCCACAGCCCCTCCAGCCCCACAGATTCTCCAGAGATCAAATTCCATACAGCAAATGGAACAGCTGAATCGCCGGTAAGAATTACCATTATTGTTTGTGAATTATGTGTTTGCAAAACTTCATTTACCACTGTAAGACCAAGTAGAAAGACTAGGTCCCAGTTGCTACTGCAGCTGGCCGTGTATGCTTATTTTTATGTGGTTGTTCCTTTTAGATTGCACATGGGCTTCTGCACCTATCATATTTCACCTGTGTTTAACAGCTAACAAAAATCTGCTAATGATTTTAGGAAATTGAAGATGCTTATAATACTAAAAGATGTCAGTATACGTTAACCTACATGGCAGAAAAGCAGGGGAAGCCCAACTTTATTACTAGAGTCTCTCAGAGCCCGAGTTGGATCACAGTTACCATATACTACATATAAAGTCCAGTTTTCTAACCCTAGGTATCAGAGCATCCGCCGAACAATGACTAATGACAGGCCTGAAGAACATACAAGTGCAGTGGATGGAGCTGGAGAGGAAACTGACTTTCACCATTCTAATGCAGGTAAAAACAAAAAAAATCACTAAAGGTAGCATTCATCTTGCAGATGATTTAGATAATGACATAGAGCAGGACATACTTTCTGCTCATGGAAGTCTGGGTCGCAATTTGTTTTCATTGCTGTCTAGTTTTTTAAGATTATGGTGCAACCTGTTTGATGTGCTAAGATGAATGTGAGGGTCAGAGCCTTTTTCTGTCAGTGTCTGACTGGGTAAAAACATAGACAGGACATTAGCAGAGAAAGAGTATAAAATAGTGTGTCTGAGTTACGAATTTTATAGGCTGCCACATTCTGTAACGTTATACAAGAAAGAACTAGAATTCTTTCTTCTCCTAGTCTTTAGTTATTGATTGACTACCTGGTGTTAACTTTCCAAATGAATGCATAGGAAAAGATCTTTATAAAATAATCTTTTAGCATCATTCCTTGTTTTTCCTCTAGCTATGCAGTTCTTTCCTTGGTCATATTCCTACTACAAATTTACTAATGAATGTAGTTACCTTGATAGTCATCCGGTCCCTTCTGTAGTTGGGTGTCATTTTGTTCTTTGTCTGCAGATTCTCATTACATTCTCCCGTAATCCTCCTTTCTCAGCTCATCTGTTGCCCAAGCAATGCTAACCGTTCTTGCATTTCAGGTCACTGCGGGACCTGTGATTTGGCCAAATGCCCCTTTTCTATTTGTTTTCTTTATTTCTACCCTAGCCTTTTCCTTTTCTTTGTTCATGTGCCTGTTTGGGCCTTTGCAGAAGCAGCTAGATGGTTTGTTGTGCCTCTAACAAATGAATTTAAAGCAAATTCAGCCTAATCAGCAAATTCAACTGAATAAGCCCTTCATAAAACAAATTAGCAAGCCTCTCAACTGCAAAAAAATAAAATAAAAATCCACCCAGTTGGCACATCCTGGTTTTCAGATTACCCGTCTAAGACAGTGGACCTATGAGTATTGCATAGCATCCTCCAGGATGTGAGAGGTGATTGTTACACACACAGATTTTGTACCAAGGCACTGGATGACGCTCCCAGCCCAGATATTGAGGCAGAGCTTCAGGAATCCTTATGGTACACTCCTGTCACTCTGTAGAGATAGGAGCATTTGGGAGTGTGCTGGTTTTTCAAATTCTTTTTTTTTCTCACTTACTTTCCCTTTACTTATTTCCTTTCCATTTTCTGTTTTCCTCTTATATGCAGAATGAATAGATCCTTTATTCCCTTTTTTTCCCATAGTATTTAGTCATCCGGGTTTTGAATGTCACTCATTCTTTTCCTCCTCTTTTTTTTTTTTAAACTTACAGTTTATTCTTCTTTTTTTTCCCTTAGAGTTTCATTCACTGCCTTTCTTCTCCTTTCTCTGTCTGTGGGTTAGTCTTTTATATCCGTGGTGGCTGTGTTTTGTGTGATTAATGTTTATTTGATGGGGAATTGTGCAAATGCCCTGTTATGTAAAAGAAAGAAGCAGTGATGTGTAGAAGATGGAGTGAAATTTTGGAGTAAAAACGCTGGAGGCCCAATCTGAATTTACAATTTTTCCATTACTTTAAAATGTGCATCCAAACATGCTATTGATTTTCAAAGGAGGTTAGGAAAATAACATTGTAGAAAATATCACACATTATGTATGTTCAGTTCCTGATACTGTTGAGAAATCAGGGCGCTTCAACAGTTGCTAGGAGGAGAAGCAAATGTTTACTCCAAGTTGAATGTGAAAGGTACTCCTGTGGCAACCTGTTTTTAACTTACATAAGCTGCTTTAATATTTTAAGTACTGTGTCAGGGTCAGAGCGGTGTTACTGGCAGTGATTTTTTAAATTTATTTTGCTTTTTAAGGAAGAAAGAATGAAACATTTTGTAAATGTACGATGACTTCTGTATGCATTGGTCAGCATTTATGAAATGACTGTTATCTGCATATGGCTACAATATAGCACTGTGGGCTTGATGCAGGGACCTTCTTGGCAATTTATATATAGGCATGTGGTTGGTAACCAAAATAATCGGAAGCATTTTAAAACATTATTATTAAATGATTTTTCACCAAAAGCAACAAATTAGATCTTCTAGATACAAATTCCGGTATTAGAAGAATTTCAAGTGTGCTTATGTGGGTAATGAAACCAATACAATTGTATACCCAGGTTTTTCTTTTTTGTGTAACTAAACTATATAGTTGTTTGCAGTAGTGTTTTGGTAACATTTATTACTGGAGTTGTGAATTGTCATTCACTTTGTTGTTAGATTTTCGAAGAGAGAATGTGCTGCCTCACTCTACCTCCAGATCCAGGCTTACTCTGTTGCTCCAGTCTCCCCCTGTGAAATTTCTTATCAGCCCAGAGTTCTTCACAGTGCTGCATTCTAACCCTGTGAGTACAGTCTGTTCAGGTGAAAGACTTCGATAAATGCATCTTTATATACAGAGATGTTTTGCATGCAGAGGTGTTACTTAGTGTTTGATGGTAAAATATTGCTAGTACATAGGGAAGCTGGATTAACTGCAACACTCATCATCATTCCTTGCAGTTGATGGGCTGCCACAGAAGTCCTATGTGGCATTAGACCTTTTAGGTTTTTGCTTTTTACTCAGCTGTGGATCTTTTTTAGAATACCAAACTGACTTGTTCTTTGAAGCAATAGCTTTATTACTGTGTTCTTCAAAGACTAACAGACTTTTTTTTTTCTTGAATGAAAATGAAGTTTCTACTTTGTGGTCATTTTGATGCTGATGGGAAGGTTTGTATCACCCAAATTACTTGATTTATATCAAAATACTTCAGAGATCACAGTGAACAAGAAGACATGTTAGTGTATGTTTTCCCTTTCTCTTTTCTCTGTTTTCCTTCTCATAAGGAATATATATTGTAAACAGATGTAATGGGATGAATAATTTATTGTTTGCAATCACATTAGTAAATTATGCAGGTTTTTTTTAAATTACTGATAGACTTTAATTCAGTTCTGATATGCATGTCTGTGCATATCTGAAAAATTCTACTTGGAGTATACATCTTTATCTTCAGTATTTGGAATAGGGCAGAAGCAGATAAGACCTCTGGCCAGAAAACAAAGGAAGGAGCACGGTGTGGTCTAGGTAGCAACACACTGCAATAGAAGGACCTATGATTTAGCTTCTGTCTATTGCCAGTTCTGGGACAAAGATCTGATTTGCAGTCGGCTTTTTTTTTTCCTGGAGTAAAAGTGTAAAGTGTTTATTTTTCCCTTCTATTTGAAGTTTTCTCTGCTCCTCAGTGCTCTCTTTTTACTATATCATTTTAATTTTATTAGCTAAATTAGACATGGGTTTGCAATTATAGGGTTCTTTCTTTCCCTCTTTTTGAGAAGTCTGTGGATTTACATGTAACTGTGCTAAGTTCTACAAGCATATGTCTCTGCTCAGCAGAAAACCTTACCAGCTTTATGACCGTTCTGTGGCTATGATTGACTTGTTATTGCAGAAGTCTTAGAATACCTATGAGATCTTAATCTTTTAAGCAATTCTAATGTTACGAAATTCTTCACAGTTCATGGGACAAGTGTTTGTAAGGTGGAGTCCAAGTCCCTGTATTTTACACTTTGCTGAAGTTCATGTGCATCAAATAAAAACAAAAACAAAACATTGAACACTAATTCCAAAACCGCACAAGGATGACCAGTTTCTCATAACTGCTGCCTAGTTAGAAAAGATCCCTTTTTAGAGTGGAAGTGTTTCTTTTGTAATGAAATTATTACTGTTCCGTGTTTTTCAGAGTGCCTACCGCATGTTTACAAACAACACGTGTCTGAAGCACATGATCACCAAAGTCCGGCGGGACACCCACCATTTTGAGCGCTACCAGCATAATCGTGATTTGGTGGGCTTCCTAAACATGTTTGCTAACAAACAGCTGGAGCTGCCAAGAGGTTGGGAAATGAAACATGACCATCAGGGCAAGGTAACTTACAAGTGACACACTTATATCTCTATTCAGTGTGTGATTTTTGAACGTTGTAGTGTTAGGATTCTTCTTACTGTTCTCCGGAAGGAACATAAATGGCCGTGATTCCCCAATGTACGTAAAGATGCATGTTTTTCCTTTTTCAAAAGAATATTGGAATTTCTTATTTATGCTGGCAAAACATTATGCGAGAGGAAAAGGAGACTGAGAAATAAATATTAATCAGTATAAGAAATATTAATAGAAAATCAATAGTCTTTTCACTCTGAGATGTTACTTGGCTTCCTTCAGATATTTTAAAACTTCTTCTGAAAATAATTATTTAGTATGGAAATATAAGCAGGTCAGTAAAGTACTTTAGAGTTTTGCCTTTGTACTCAGAAGAAAGTTTAAATGTAAGCTTACTTAATTTTTTTATCTACTGAATTTTAATGAGTTATTGTTGGGTTATTTGTATCAACTTTCTTCTTTAACTGTCAACCTTAGCATCTCAAGTGAAATTTATTAGCGTGCATTATTTGTTCTTTTTTCTTTAATATGTAACAGTTTTCCTAGGTGAATCCTGTATCCAAATGCTAAGTAGTTCCAGCATTCATCAGATTCTGAAATAATATTAGTGCGCTTGCAATAGCCCCAGGGATACTTACTCTGCTGACTCTGTATTGGTTAACCACACAGAAACTGTGCAGGAAGTTTCATTAATTAATGAAGATCTTGAATAGTTGCAAGTTCTGCAGAACAAATGTCACTTCTGGAATTCTAATAAAATATTTTAAAATCAGAGAATAACAGACAAATTTTTGTAGTAATATAATTTTAATGTAAATTTAGGCTAGGAAGTTTAAAAATAGACTATGATTAACATGGGAGGAAGTGATAAGACTTATCAATTTGTGTGAGAATGCAAACTAAGCTTATTAGTTCTTATGTTATCAGTCCTGGTATGCTGTCCATGTAAATAATGATTTTGATGCTTGAAAAGATTGCAGACAGATTCTGAACGGAAGGCTAGAAAAAGAACTTGAGAATTGTTTTCATCTTGTATTTATTAACTTTGGAAAGCACTGTGTTTTTCCTTTAGTAGCCCTGTTAGGGATGTGCGATTATGTTAACCTCATTATTTGCCTTCCTCTCTCTTTTCTTATTTGTATCATCCTTGTTTGTATGGTCCTTCGGAGGCTGGTTCTTTCCTGAAGAATATGACAATTTCAATTGACTATAAATAGGTGCCCCATTTAGAATATTAGACCTTTGGCTTTCATGTGTTGTGTTTGCTAACCGTGAGGTTATGACAAATGTTAATCAGTGAAAGGAAGCACTGAATAAATCCCCACTGGGATTTCTTCACTTTGAATTAAGCTCAGTTATTTATGCTCTTTATGTTGATGCGTCTTCGTCACAAACAGTGCATGTGGCCAGTAGGAAAGCTTATTCAGCAGTTGAAAGAGAGTGATGTCAAGTGTGTGGAAACATGTTTGATGAGACCGAACAAAACCAAGCCTGCATTTATTAAAAGCATAAGCTAAAGAACAGCAAGTGGATATTAGCCATGCCACAAAACATATTACATCTCCTTTCCTGCTATTCTTTCCCACTGAGATGATGTTTCCCTTTATTTCTCTAAGTATATTGTAGTAAGAGGCTTGGTGCTGCTCACAAGGCACAGTGATTATTCTGACCCTAATACAGAAGTGAGCAGTAGAGTTCATGTTCCCTGATGTCAGTGCAGTTCCAATGGCTTGTAACCTTTGCAGGCATTCGTGCTCAAGTGGGGCCTGCTCACCTCCAAACTCCCTTCAGATCTGTTGGACTAATCTCAGTTGCCCACTCTTCCTGGATTCCTACATGTATCCCCTTCAGACAATAAAACCCCCCAGGAGGCCCAACGCATCAAGTATGGGATTTCTGAGTGGCGTTACAGATGGTAGAATCATAGAAACCTAAGAGTTGGAAATGACCTTTAAAGGCCGTCCAGTCCAACTCCTCTGCAATGAACAGGGACATCCACACCTCGATCAGGTGCACAGAGCCTGATCTAGTCTTGAAAGTCTCCAGGCCCTTCCAGACACTCTGCCCCAAGTCTGTAGCGTTGCCTTGGGTTGTTGTAGCCAAAGTGCAGGACCTGGCACTTGATCTTGTTGAACTTCATCCCATTGGCCTCATTCCAAATAAATAATAATAAATTATAAGAGATTTTTTTTTCTTTCTACTGTGAAATTCTAATTGATTATTAATAACTTGAATAGGAAGAAGGGTATTTTAGCAAGCTTCATATACTTTAATGTGAAAGATAACTTAAGCAACTATCCATGTTTAATGGATAAATTACAGTTTTTGCACTAATCACCTTATGTCATTCTCTTCAAGCGTCATAAGATTCATGAATTATAATTATGTGCTATGAGAGGAATTTTTTGTGGAGGAGATTGAGAGATTTCACTGTGTTTTGAGCTGTATGCCAATATCCACATTAAGGCTCTAATGCTTATCTTCGCTGAAGCTACGAATTAGTATTTTTGGCTTTTAGTAGGCTGCTACTTGCTGACCTGCAAGCATTCATAGTTAATAAGATATGCTTGTCTTAAACTTGGTACGTATGGTTAGTTCTTTATTTAAATATAATGTGAAAGAGCACTACATACAGTGTTAGACTGCTGTGTTAAATCAAATAACTCTGGAGAACAACTGTAGATAGTACTTCCACGATTGAATTGCTACTTTTTTTTTTTTCCTAAGTGATTTTACAGTATAGTGTCAACTTAATGAAATCAACCTTTGGTTTGCTGAATGTCCCTCACAGCTTAGAAATATGCATAGTCAAGACTAGAAAAACAACCAATTGTTAGTAAGTGAAGTAAACCTGTAAATTAGAAGCAAATAGTTCAGAAAGCTTGGATACATTGCAGCAGTCTCTTTCAATCATTTGCTAGGCCTCAAGTCAAAATTTTGTAATGGCTTTCTTTCTGCTTTTCCTCTGGTTTCATGTTCTGAAATAGATATGTTTGTGCTGAAGGTGATGGCATCATTTGTCAAGGTTACAGAAAAAAGTCCTGCATCAGGCTCAAACGCTGCGGTTAAAATTGTAATGTTTTGATACGCGATATTGTTTGTGAATTGCAGAACACTGTTTCACTTAAGTGTTTGTAACTATTTCATCTGAACAGAAGGGAACTTCTTCGGTGTTCAGGTGGTGTGGTTCAACACTTGCATACCCAGATCTTAGGTTCAGGCCATCACTGTTAAAGCTGTAGGAGTCTTGCTGCCCTCTTCTGAAATGTTTTTGAGGTCTTGCAGGTTAGGTGTCCCTCCTGTCTCTCCCAGCCAGACATCAGCCGCAATTTGCAGCTCCATGCACTTCCTCTCTGTTGGGATTTGGAAATACTAATATTTTCTCCCACCACAGCAATATTTAGTTGCTGTGTAACATGGCACACTGGCTTGCCTAATGACTTTCATGGCAGTCACAAGAATTCTGTTTTCTCTTTCCTGTCTGTACTAAGCAGCCTGAGTAATGATTTGATGAACACTGTAGGTTGCTATAAGATCCAGTTCTGTACTTCTCTCGTCCCTGGTGGGCTGACTGAGGTTAGAAGAAGAAGCAAGGAAACGGACAAAAGAGAATAATTTTGGCCTGGACCGGGTCCCCAGCAAGGTTCACTGTGTGGCCACGCAAACACTTGTGCCAGCACAAGGCAGAAGGGGGCTGCACAAGGGATGAAACAAGTGGTTAGGGTGAGGGAAGATGGGAATGTTTCTTCTGCTGACACCACAGGACTGAATTGTTTATGAAACTGTGGTCAAAGTACCTCACTGGTATCACAAATAGAAATGACTCCAGCAGACCCAACCACCTCTCTGCTGGTCCAGACTCTTTAATTCTTCAAACCAGATGTCACTTTCTTGTAACTCTTCTCCTCAAAACCAGGATCTTTTTTTGCCATTTCCTTATTTCCAGCATTGTGACTGAAAAAAAAAGCTGAAGTAAGTTGAAATAGAACAGTGCAGGTTTCCAAGTGCAACACTAATACTGGAAAAAGTTTAAATCTCAAGGATTAGAAACAATTTTTGGTTTGAATTGGACTATAGTGCAGGAGGTTTTCATTTTCCAGGATATGTGCTCCTGTGACCTTGCTTTAAGCAAACAATGGACCAGCCAGCATGCGGTAGTTCTTTACCAGCTGCCCGTTTTAAAAGTTTCTGTTGCCACCTTCTTTTTGTCCCCAGCTGACATTTTTTCAGATTAATGAGCTTAGAATAGTTGCAACATGAGGATGTTAAAAATGTCTTTTGACTTGTAATCACAGTGCATCACAGGATGCAGTCATACACTTGAGTTTTGCACACTAGTTTGTGTTCATAATTATGTGGTGAGTAGTTCACAGAGGGGTATGGTTTTGCCCCTTAATGACATTTTTTAGTTGCTTATAAGGAAATGAAAGGCAGAAAACATGAGGATGACTTTTATTAAATATAAGAGCCTTTTCTTCTTGGCAATCATAATAAAACTTCTGATGCTGGTCAGCTGAAGATTTCAAAGGACTTTAAAGGCATGAATGAAATAAGGTATTAAAGAATTCATCCCTCCAGTGAGTTGAAAAGCTGTTATCCTCCTTTTGCCATGTGAGCCACAGCAACATGAGAAGGAATTTCGAAAGCCTGACATCAGAGGCTGAATCCTAGAGCCTGAATACACATTAACCTTAGACATTTAAGTCTGTGGTTGTTGAGTATTCTTGTCATACAAACAATTGGCTATAAATTCTTGCCTTTTTCTTTTTCTAGGCTTTCTTTGTTGATCACAATTCCCGCACGACCACGTTCATTGACCCTCGGCTTCCCTTGCAGAGCAGCAGGCCTACCAGTGCTTTAGTCCATCGGCAGCACTTAACTAGGCAACGCAGCCACAGTGCTGGTGAGGTAGGTTTGCTCTGCCTCTTCTCTCTGGTTGGGAGCCACCAGGTTTTTAAGGTCATCTTCTTTTACTTCATTCCATTTACAACTCCATTCTGTTGTGAGGAACATTGTTGCTCTGTAACTGGATGGTACTCAGCCATGAATGTTCATGGTTTTATTTTCTAACAGGGAACGTCACTGATCCTTTTGAAATACACTATTTCAGAAAAAAAACCAAACAAACCATCAACATTAATTTTACTTTTAATTTGCAGTAACCCTGTTTAACCACAGGAGAGCATCTGATTACAGGTTATCTGTATCTGTATCATGATTTTTACTGTCAAAATACTTATTGCTGTCAAGCCTGGTGTCTGCCAACTATGTAGGTTATAACTTTGCAAATTAGAGGAAAAAATGGGTGTGTGTATACATCTAGATGTGCAACAATCTGAATAAGTGTAAAACGCCTTCTTCCTGCATATGGGCTTGTCAGACCATTGTATGTACTTATGTATGTATTTTAACTCTACTTTCTAAACAGTAAAACATTTGAAAGTCTGTCATGTTGACGCGCCACTGTGGACCTTTTTCACTACCAATCTCCATATTGTTGCTGTAAATTCTTTTTACCTATGAGCAAGCATATGTACAATGGCTTAATCTTTAGTTGTAGATGTTATTAAAGCTCTGTGCTGGTGGCTGTGGTTCCTCTTTTCAGAGGAGGGCTATCCCATGACAGGAATTAAAAGATAATACATGTTACGACTTGTGAGATGCTCTGATTTGTTCTATTTTTAGCTCAGTTTTGTGGCACATCAAGTTCTGCCAGAGATCTGCTTCAGTGCGTGAATCTGCTCCACTACTTCTCTATCGGAGCTTCCACTGAGCTGCAGGAAGTGTTTTTGCATTGGTTGCATATGTTATCATTTCCTGTACGAATATGGTTTAGTTGTCAAGGATACTTCCCATGGCCACCCTCAATATAAGGTGTATTTTATGAATCATTTTAAATACCATTATCTGTCAGTGTGGTTATATAGTGTAGGCACTGACGTCTTGCAGCAGACAAGGCAGCTGAAATTGTCTTCATATAGCTGTTTAGATCTTCCATTAGATGTTTCAAGTTTTTTTGTTCCTACTGATTTATAGGAGAACATAAAAAAGGTTGTTGTTGTTTTTTTTTTTTTTTTTGACTTCACCAAATTGGTGTGCTGATTATCTTTCTTCTGGACTTCAATATCTGCATTCAAAATAAAGAGAGACAGATGAGCTGTTCTGCTGAAGTTGTCAATACTGCAGCATAAGTGTAGTTCATCTTACAGGAAGTCTGCACATATATTGCATATACGCAGTGCTAATTTTCTGCTGGAATATTCTACTCTATCTAGATTAGATAAATGAAATAGTTTGATCTGTTTCTTAATGCCAGTTCAGAAATATTTATTTGGTATGATAACAGTTGTGGCTCTATTTTGAATATAAGTAAAGCAGCACCACATAGAAATCAAAGCAGTATCCCCATTCGGAGACTGATGATGTAATGATGTTTATTGATATGCATATGTATGAGACTGAGTATGTTTTCTTCAGCTCTTACGACTTAAATATCGCTTATTTGCAGCTATTTTAAAGCCATTGTATTATGGAACTGTATGTTATTGCAGACAGATGAGTACTTAATGAAAAAAATTCTCAAAATACTTTATTTGGATTTGCATTGCCACAAACTTTGATGTTATGAAGCTGTTGACCCAGTTTTTATAGGGAGATGCTCTAAAACAAACAATAGCTGGTGTAAGGAATGTCTTTTAAGCTAAAGCTGAACTGCAGCGTGAAGCTGGAGCTAATAATAATGCCATTCCTTTTCCAGCACAATGCCTAAAGGAAATTACTGTTATTTATTTATTTTTTTCCAGAGAGATTATTATCGGAGGGCAGAAAGACCTTGTGAGTTACTTCAGGTCTTTTACAATATTGTGATGCCAGAGTCTGGATTTAACAAAACCTTTATAATCATTTGATCTTTTGCACTTGAAATTTTTTTGGAATTCTCTGGAATGTGGAAGTGTAGTTCACGTAGTAACAATTATCTACAGGCAGAGGGATAGAGGAGTAAACATAAAGGTCCAAGAGAATGAAAAAATGGTTGAACAAAATGCCTCATGTAGATAAAATACAAAATAATGACACAGTAGAAATGACTGAAACCTCAACATACAGTAAATTGCAGAAGCTGACCCAGCATCACATGTGCCACGAGGAAAAATTTTACGCTATGGTTCTGCACTAAAAAATGTTGATATGCTGTATGTTTCACTTCCAGAAGGTAAACACACAAAGAATTCACAACAGTTCTCCTGAGCGATTTTAAGAAATGTTTTTACCAGTTTTGGACTCATTTACCTTGACTGAATGTGAACTCACTTTATATTGCTGTTTTAGCCACAGAATTCTTTCCAGTTTGAGTTTGGGGAAATTCTGCTCATGAGTGGTTATGGTGCTAATGAAAGAGCTGCATTTTGATCTTTATAATTTTTAATATGGGTAAAGATGTACATGAAGTACAAAATTACTCTGAAAATTTCCCAGCTTGAATTTTAGAGGAGAATTTACTTCAGAATGGGACTATTATTTAAAAATAGCAATAAACTTGGAAAGAAATGGTTTTGATTTTTCCTGACTAATAAATAATGTTTTACTAATAATTCTCTTGCAAGATAGGTAATCCCTTCTACACTGATTATTGGGAATTGTGATCCAGCAGAAAATTTATGTTTGTTTAATTTTAAATCATATAAGTACTCACTTAAATACTGTTTCATTGTATATCTAAGTATAAGCTGACAAAGAAACACTGACTGTGTTCACTTGTACATTTTCAGGTTGGAGAGGACTCTCGTCATGCAGGACCACCAGTTCTACCAAGACCATCTAGTACATTCAATACAGTCAGCAGAGCTCAGTACCAGGATGTGGTTCCAGTGGGTAAGTCAGCATATGGCCTCTTTGCAGAGAAGTACTCTGTGACTGAATGTGTCACGTCTGTCTTCACTGTTGTGTTTTTCATTTGGTAGGGGTGGGTGGAAGTTACAGTTAGTTAGGACTACGGTCTAATCAGTCAGTTGCAACCTGCAGGAATAATAACAGAAAGTGTCTATGAGGAATTGAACAATTGATGTAAAAATCCTACTTGTTCTGAGTTTCCTAATCCCACTAGTCTAAGTTGTGAGAGGAAGAGCTGAAGCCAGCAGGTTGTGTCCTAATTGGGCATTTCAAGTGATTTTGTAGAACTTCTGGGTATCTCTTTTGTCAAGATTCCATCAAGTGTTAATCAGCTTGGAATTAGTCATTAGCTTAACTTCTGCTCTCAGTTACATACATACAAAGTTACTGATTCCTATGCCACCAAGAAGAGAATTTAGTTTGTTGAATCTAACAGCTGTCACATTGTGCTAAATCAAGATAAATTAATCCGATTGACTATAACTGGATCTTTGTACTGTACCATGTTTACTTGAAAATCTCTGCTAATTTAAATCCTTCCCGTTGCTGTGTTGATGGTGTGCATACGCTACAGGCTCAGCAGTAAGTGAATTAGTGAATTAGAATAGAATCATAGAGTCACTGAAGTTGGAAAAGACCTTTAAGCTCATCTGGTCCAACTACCCACCTACCAGCAATATTTCCACACTAACCATGTCTCATCTAAATGTTTCTTGAGAGCTTCCAAGGATGAGGACTCAACCACCTCCCTGGGCAACCCATTCGAGCACCTGACTGCTCTGTGAGAGAAGAAATTTTTTGTAATATGCAATCTGAACCTGCCCTGGTGCAGTTTGAATGCATTCCCTCTAGTCCTATTGCTAGATATGCAGGAGAAGAGGCAGCCCCCTCCACCCCTCACCACAATCTCCTTCAGGTAGTTGTAGAGAGCTATAAAGTTTCTCCCAAGTCTCCTTCTCTTCTCAGACTAAGTAATCCCAGGTGCCTCAGCTGGGATTAGAATATGGGTGTTTCCATTGTTTGTTTAATGTTTGAGAATGGATTGAACACCACCAACATGGAATGTGTCCTAGAATCTCTTTAGAAAAATGAATACATAGCTAAGAGAATACATTTTAAAAGTTCACAAAAATAAAAAGCACTCCTTTCATTATATATGAATTGTTTTTCTCTAATTCTGACTAGCTTTAATCAGCTGTTCTTGGAAGGTTCCTGAATGGCTGTAACCTACTTGTGTCTGTTGATAGTTAAGAAATGTAGCCAAATAGGAGTTGACTGTAAGTCAACTGTGGAAATGCTTATACCATCAGAAGTGTGTTTAGCTTTGAGTAGTGTTTGTTACGTGTTGAAAATGAAAGAGAGTTTAATCTTTTATTTTTACCTGGTCTTAAAATTCTAAGAATAATGTCAAGAATGCATGGATATCACTGAACTGTAAGTTCTTTGATCTTTTAATCTCTAACCTTTTATTTCTGTGCTTTTGCTAAGTTATAAAGAAGAAAAGGAGTAACGTTAATCTTTAAGTAATTGGAATTGATGAATATATGTCTAGTCCAAGTCTTGAAAAGCCATTAGCAGATAACGTTACTGTAAGCACACAAACCTGGATGAATTAAGGTTTGAGAAGAAGCCTGGATATACAGCCATCTGTTAGGATGCACTGCATTTTTTGATACTTAGGCAGAATCTTGGTATGAATAACAACAAAAGGCTATTACTTCTCAGAGGAAGAGTTTTAAAATATTCTCTTAGTTACCTTACATCCAGCCTGTAAGAGCTTTATAATGTCTGTGGTTATGGTCATCTTGTTTTCTTCTAGCTCTGTAGGTCTCAGATGTCGTACAAATGATGAGATGAATGACATTATATTTATGTCTATAAATTAAGTTCTCAATCTGGTCTATTAGTGCAATCCGGCATCTCCAGAGGGCAGTTCATCACTCTTATACCAGTCACATCTTTCCAAGGGCCTGTAGAGATTACAGTGACACCAAATGGATTGGAAGGGGATGCTGAAGGTAGCTGAAGAAAGAACCTTGTCTACATGGCTGTTAAACACATTGTTATAAAATAAGATATTGGATTCTCCATTGCCCTGACTCATATTTTAATTTATAATAGCAGACTAAGCAATGTCTCGTGCTTTGTGACACTTCACATTTCCTTTTTATGAGTGAGAATGGTTCAGTGCAGTGGAAACTTAAGAACCTTGATTTAATTCTAGCAATGAATACTCTAGTTTGATTTCAGCTAGGAGTGTGATTGATAAAAGGTAATAGAAATTGCTAAAAAAGTTAGCACTGTTAATTAACAGTGGAAAGGATTTGTCATAATCAGATCCCTCATTCATAATCAGGTGTGTTCCCTGTGATAGTGCTACAAGTAGCCTTACACAAATCAATATAAATGAATGCAGTACTGCTAACTAATGACTGTGAAAGTGAAATTTGTGGTCATTGCTCAAAACTAAGAAGGAATGTCATCCTGTCTTTTAGTATATCGTTGTTTCAGTACAATGTTTTTGTTGTTATTTTCAGCTTACAATGACAAGATTGTTGCATTTCTGCGGCAGCCCAACATCTTTGAAATTCTACAGGAGCGTCAACCAGATCTTACCAGGAATCATTCACTCAGGTATTAAAATTTGGGCAGTCTGCTATTCCCAGTCTAATACAAAATGCTAATCTGAATTAGTTTCTGTCATTAAAGTTGGCAGTGGCACATAACAAATTGTAGAATTTGTAGACAACATATCCATAAAGCTGCAGCTAATACTTCTTTTCTGTATTTCTGTTTAACTCAGTGAAATAACGTTTAGGGAAAGAGAAAAAATATACTATTAGAAAATGAAGGGAAAATTAAATAAAAGGCTTCAGGCAAAGGTACCAATCATATGATTTATATCCTAACAGGGGATAAAAGCCATATACTTAAAAACTGTCATTCGGATCACAATTCTCAGTGGTAACTCCTGAGAAGTTATTGATTGCATTTATTTGGAGTGCTGCAAACATTAACCCAGAAAATGTTTTTCTGATTTCTGGTGTTACTAACTGAATGCTAAGAAGTCTTTTGAAATCTACCATTCGTTTCTTCAAACTTTTCTATTTGGGCATCGATGTAAATTGGAGTAGGCTCTAGAACTGTCCAGACATCCCTGCCCTGTGCATGATGGGGCCATGCTCACAGACGGACAGTGTGTTTTAGCTTTGGCTCGGCACTGCGCTGGTGGAACTGTGAGGTTAACATACTGATCATGGTTCTTGATGGATCGAGACCTCAAGTTTGATGAAGTGGTTGCTTGACCTTCACTGCCTGTCTTCACAGGGAAACACTGAATTACTACAGCCACCGCTGCAAGCATGTACAGCTTGGATGTGCCCCTTTTGACCCTCGAATATGCTGCATATGTAGTGGAAGTTGTCAGGAAATTTATGTTAGGTTAATTGTTTAAGAATGTCAAACTGTTTTTAGAGACAGATGGCAAGAAATTTGGCGTGACCTTTTGGATGAAACTTGTGCATGAAATCATGTACTCCAGAAACACATATTATAGTTTAAACTGCGTGCTGCTGCCAGCACTCTTGTCTTTAGTCTTTTGTCCTTGTCACTTTCAGTGGGGTAGATGGACCTCTGAGCTGAGCCAGTATCACTGTTCTTATATAGAGCTTTTTTCTGTTTGTTTGGTTTTCTCCTTTAGAATTTTTATTATGTGCGTTTGCATTTTTCTTTTCCTTGTTAACAGTGAGTCCAAATTGTTTGATCACAGAATCACAGAATGACCAGGGTTGGAAGGGACCTCAGTGATCATGAATCTCCAACCCCCCTGCCACATGCAGGGCCACCAACCTCCCCATTTAATTCTAGACCGAGCTGACCAGGGCACCATCCGCTCTAGCCTTGAACACTTCTAGGGACGGGGCATCCACAACCTCTCTGGGCAGCCTGTTCCAGCACTTCACCACTCTTCTGTAAAGAACTTTCCCCAGATATCCAACCTAGATCTCCCCTCCCACAACTTAAAACTATTTTCCCTTGTCCTGCAGTTATGTACCCTTTCGAAGAGTTGATTCTCCTCCTGTTTGTAGGCTCCCTTTAGGTACTGAAAGGCTGCAATTAAATTACCCTGCAGCCTACTCTTCTCCAGGCTGAACAAGCCTAGCTCCCTCAGCCTGTCTTTGTAGGGGAGGTGCTCCAGTCTCCTGATCATCTTCGTGGCTCTCCTTTGGACCCTCTCCAACAGCTCTCTGTCTTTCTTGTACTGGGGGCTCCAGATCTGGACATAGTACTCCAGATGGGGCCTCACAAGAGCAGAGTGGAGGGGAACAATCACCTCCCTGTCCTTGCTGGCCAACCCTCTTCTGACGGAACCCAGAGAGAAGTTCTGTCTTTTACTGATAGGAAACGAATAGGATGTCCTCTCATTTTAGAATACAGGAAAAAACTCTACAGGCTGTGGAGAGAACAGTAAATTAATAATATAATAATATAATATAATCCAAATCATTATATTCAATATAGATACTAAAAATCCATAGTGAGATTACAGCAATCCAGAGTGTGTTATGCACAGTGTTTAGGATGCATAGACTCTACAGTAGTGTCCATATTGGGTCTGGGAGGAGAGTTGAGTACTTTGGTGGAGTAGGGATGGAGAAACAGTGCAGGGGTTTTCTGAAAGATGTGCTAAATGCAACATCTTTTGAAAATCCCACTTTGGAAATCATAAAAGCATTGTAACATATGGCTTACATTTGTATATTTGTACACTGCTTCAAACAGTTCACTTTCTGAATAGTAATATCCTCTCACAGGGCTTGGCCTACTGCTTTGAATTCAGGGCCACTGCTAGTTTTTTTGGTTGCATGTCTGCAGTACCTCGAGCCTTGAATCAGTGAGGGAAACAAGAATGACTCTTCAGAACAAATGAGTTTTTGAGTTGTAATATTTTACTACTCACATGCATATGCTGTGGCATGGGAAAAAATGGTTTCTGAAGTGCAGAAGCATAGCCTAGAGGTTTTTATGATATACCCTGTACTTCTCTTTTTTACTGGGGTGTACATCAGATATTTTGTAACTCTTTTTGGCTTGCACAGGGAGAAGATCCAGTTCATCCGGACAGAGGGAACGCCTGGCTTGGTGCGTTTATCCAGTGATGCAGACCTTGTCATGTTACTCAGGTAGGTGCTGCTGCTTTCTGTGCATGTATGGAATATGCTGTGGCAGCTGCTGAAGAGCCTTCTGGACAGTAGTGTGGACCCATTTAGTGAAATAAAGAAAATACAGGATTTTCATTTCAAACTTTCCTTTGTAGGAAATCAATTATTTGTATTACTTAAATCAATCATCAGTATAATTAATCTTTAAGAGAAAAGTCAAAGAGTTAGTTAGAGTTAGAATTAGCAATCCCACGAAAACTTCATATTCTTTGTATTTTATTTCTCTTCTCCGGGTTTTTGTTTTGTTCTGGTTTTGTTTTTCTAAAAATACCTAAGTGAAAAGTTGTGCTTTGATTTTCTTCCCATTTTAATAATGCCATTGCCTCAAGGATGTATTAATGATAGAATTTTAATTGTGCATCCATTAGTTCCCTAAAATGCTGCATGTTAAACCTCGGAACTGGACTGGGTTATTGCAAGTTTATGTTCCTGGTCTTTGTGCAGTATTATAGATTTTTTTCTAGGAAGTCATGACTAAGGTTTCTGACCCTTTTCTAATAACAGTACTAATGGAAAAAAAAAAAAAGAGAGAAAAAAAAAGAGGGAACACAAATGGAGCAAATGTATTTTAGTATTGAAAACAAACTTCGTATTTCATATCATCTGATATTTCACAGTATTTAGCAGTAATTAGTGCTTTCCACTAAGTTTCAGTGGGAATGGCAGTAATATTCTATGACTCTACAATCCTTAAGTATGCATAGTGGAAATAGGCAAGTCACTAACAAGAAAAACAGATTAAATAGATGCTTATTTTTAGAAAGATATCTTTTATTCATGCAAATAAATGTGTTGCTTTTTGAAATGTGCTTCTATTTACAAGCTTGTTTGAAGAGGAGATAATGTCATATGTGCCGCCACATGCCTTACTTCATCCCAGTTATTGCCAGTCCCCAAGAGGTTCACCAGTGTCCTCACCCCAGAACTCTCCAGGTAAGTTTCTCAGGCACAGAGTCTATAAGAAACCATTTCTCATACTAAGTAAAGATCAGCTCTAGATCAGTCAAGTCAGTTTCACACTCCTGTTGCCTTCCCAGAAGTCAAAGAACAGAGACAAATTGTTTGACTGTAATTTTTAGTTTGCTTTCCAAATTCAATTTCATAGCAGCCTAAAATGGAGCGTTTGGAAATTATATCCAAACATGTTTCCCTTTGCAGTTCCCAGCTTTTACTTAGATGAGCAGAAGCAGTGAACTTGTAATTGCTGTCATTGTCCACAGCAGTATTTTTATAATGATATTTGTAAGATATTGCCATAGAGCCAGTCCCACAATTAAGTTTATGTTATGCTGCGTGTAATGACTTCCCACCTTTCTGAAAATCCAAGTTCTGTAGCTCCAGCAACAACAAAGGTATAGTCCTATTTTTGAACAAAACTAGCCAGTGTGATTGAATTTAACCATCAAACATGAACCTTTGCCTTGGGCTCACAAGGTGTTCTGCCAGTAAAAAAAGATAGTTATATTCCAGCTTCAGAGCTTGTGATTATTGTTCTGACTTGTAAAAACATGTAAACTTGTTCTTCACTGATGTTAAACAACTAAATGACTGCTAATGACTGCTAATGCCAATCCAATGCCTAGAAGAATAAAAACATGACATCTAGTAAGTATACACTGAAATTCCACTGTTTGTTGGATAGTAAATAATAACATGTAAAGGCAGATTGTTGTCTCTTAACATGATGTCAAAAGAGAGCGTCTTGCAGCTGTCTGGAAATGCACACATCAGAATGGAATGAAATTGATGTTTCACATATTAGCTAATTATGTTGCTAATAAAAACTGAACTATTTCAAATTCCATTTCATCTCTGAAGACCAAGTATAGTAATGTGAAATTCACAGATGTCAGTATGACTTCTCAAGAATATAATAGTAGGTAAATTGAATAAAATCACTACAGTTTATCAGATGTGGCTCCTAAAAATTAGAGAACAAAAATATAGAAAACATTTGGGATGCAACCAATCCTGGGTACTTCCAGACAATAAGAATATTTCACCAGCGAAGGTGTTGTGGTTTTTATGGGCATTTCCCTGTCCACAGTCATTAGGAGAAAAAGCTATACTTTTTCAGGCAGCCAGACTAAAAGGACATAAAAATGTCCTGAGTGGTAGCTTGTCCTACTGGGCATGGGACCTCATAGGCAAAGGCCAATTTAGAGAAACTATCTTATGATCTTATGATATAACATGTACATTTGATGTTTTGGATGCATAGATGACTTAGCTAGAACTGTTTCCCTCCTTTGCAAAGAAAGTGAGATTGAAAATAAGCATGTTGCCTCTTACTTTCAACTGCAAACCTAGCATTCTCTTAAGGAGTAAAAACACTTTTTGTTTTCAGAGTTATAATTTCTTTGTTATTAGTACATGCACTAAAGCATGCTGGGCCAGGTTTCAGTCCAACGAAGTGTGTTTAATCTTTAAAGTGTGATATTCTCCTCTGTTTGTCTAAGAAGTAGCACGCAGTAAAAGGATGAACAGTGATGGCTTTAGTCTCATCCTCCTTAAAATTGTAATCTCTGTTCTGTTGCATAGAGAAAGATACAGTGACCATTGAATCTCCCCGTTTGTCTGCAAGAGTGCATGTTTGTCTTGGTGCACAAATGAAGTCCTATATCTTTTTTTGATCAGGAATTATAAATGACCCCTGATTTCTATGGAGGCTCTGTTTTCTCATGAGCTAAACTGGCTGTGCTGTACTGCAAGGGGTTGCATATTAAGGAGCCGTTGTTTAGATCAGTCGATATCAGTTGTTCTTTCTCTTTTGGGGAAGATGAATAATCATGAAGCTGCTCTTTATATCTGTTTTAGAATATAAACACTTTGAAAATCAAATGTGATTATCACATCACTTGCATTTTTTAGCTCTTCCACTAACATCTTTTGTTCTCAAGGCGGAAGTAATCACTATAATTGCCCAGGAATTTCTTGGCATATGCATGTAATCTCTAAAGAGAACTTGTCATTGCTGTCAGAATAATGTGCTGCTGATTTCTGAGCCATGAAGTAATGCATTACCAAATTTATGTTCTTTGGTATCTCTTAGCAATAATTTCCTTCAGGGGTTAAGTCTGAAGTAAGCTTTTGTTATTTTTTGGTGACTACATTTTTGTGCCTACTTTGACCCAAAGTGGAATAAACAAATTAGGGAAAAAAAGCCAATAATTAAAAGGCTGTTTATAGTTTCAAATTTCTGTAAGTATTCCAGATAGTTAGCTGAGAGAGTATATGGTTAAAAACCCTTTGCACTCTCAGTAACGTAGGATAACCACTATAGTTTAATCAGTGACCACAATTTGCTTTTCCAGAGGAGTCCTTCATATTGCCATTGGTGCTCTGAAGATTCTGACACTTGCCATGCCTCCCATGTGTTACTCTGAGCCTAGGACAAGTGGCAAGTGTCTTTCTGGTCAGGCAGGTCTTTTGAACACCAGTGAATGGCACTGTTAATACAGATCTTGCCTGCGCTGTCTGGTCTCTGCAGAGAGACTGACTGTGTGGCTTCCTCCAGCAGCCACTTCCGCAGGATATTCTGCTTGTTTTTCATCTCAGACCCATATATGCTGTGGCTCTGCAAGCAAAGGCTGAAAGGATGCATATTCTCTCTGTCTTATAACCGCAAATGTTACGTTATCATGTTTTTACTCATAGCGTTTTTGTATTTGCTTAGTTTCATTATAGAATGCCAAAAGAAGACTCATGTGTGAACTGATATCATTTAAAGTACACTCTTCTAAGCTCTTTCTCTGTATTTCTTGTGTCTTGTGGACCTGTTAGTTATCTCCAATGTATATAAGCAGTTAGCAACCTATATATACTGTAAGGTAGGAGAAATTTTTTTTAACACGCTCTAGGGTTCTTGGGGGGAATGTCTACACACCCACACAGGGAAGTAATTAATGTAATAAAAAGTAGAGTTTAGAAGATGAAAGTAGCAGGAGTAGGGTTAACTAAGTGCTTCTTTGGCACACTTTCTTGCAATTAAATCAATTGAAGTAATTTATCCAGAGAGCAGTGGAAGGTTCTAAAGGTTGTAATATTCAGAATAGATCAAGCAGAACAGTTGATTTGTGTATACTGGACTTATAAATGCAGGAGGTATGCAATATTTTTGGCAAACAGCTCTCTCCCTCAAAAATGAGTTCTCAAAAGTAAACTCACTTGGATGAGCATCGCGTATGATTCTACAGTTACAAATAAAATGCTCCATGAACTTAAAATCAGTACTGTTTCCATTCTCCCTTGTACTTTCCCAAGGGAAAACTTCCACTAGGGAATTTCCGTAAGTTCTTTGGCTTGGTATATTCAACAGCAGCACAGTGGGTGATAATTTTTATACTTCATTTCAGGGGTCTTAGCTTTGCTGAGAATAATAAAAACAGAACAGAGCACAACATATATCTCGTGTGCGTGAGCTGCTTTGAGGCTGAGGCATTGAGTGTCTTTGGCAAACAAAATCCTTTCCAGCTGATCATGCTATTTTTTAAAATCAGCATTCACCTGGATTTGCTCTTCAAGATGTGCTTTAGAAGGATATTATTGGAAATGTGCAATCAGAAAGTCAGAGCAGATTTGAAGACACGCAGCTTTTACTCATTTCTAAGGGTGACTAAACCAAACACATGCCTTTTGCTGTTCAGGAGTCTTTTCAGTAGATAATAGGACATTAATCAGTTCATGCCACTACAGCTCATTCTTTGCTTATTGCTTCCTGCAGGTACTCAGCGTGCCAATGCCCGAGCTCCAGCTCCTTACAAAAGAGATTTTGAAGCCAAGCTGAGGAACTTCTACAGAAAGTTGGAGACTAAAGGATACGGACAAGGCCCAGGGAAATTGAAGTATGTTAAAGAATCTCATGAAACTGGATTTGTAGCTCAGGAAGCTTGCCTTGCCTATCCTTGCACGTCTGCAAGTGTCCTCCTATTACAAGGAATGCAGACGTTATGGTTACCCTTGCACTTCTGGAAATATAAAGCCTGTCATAAGTGATTTAATGACAGCATGTGATTCATAGCAGAGGATACAGCAAATTCTGGGCACTTCTTTGCTGTATCAATTCCAACTCCAGCTTTATATGAACAATATTATTAATGCAGTGACAAAAAGTGCTTTGGAAAAAGACATGCAGAAGAGGAGGCTTCTGAACTCTTCCATCATAGCAGTTGCTGTGATATAAATAATTATGTTTTCTTCTCTTTTTTTTTTCTGTTGGAAAAATGAGGTGTGCTTATCTTTTGTACATAGTTGCCACTATTGTTCACGTGGTCCTCTTTGGTAAAAAGGTGTTCTCTTCTGAGTCGTTTACAAGTCTTTAAAGACTCTTTAAAGAAGACTGGTAAATTATTATTCATTTCCAAGGATCACCTTGGAAAACTGCTGATATTTTTAAGTTCAGCACTCTGAATGTTGGAGTGCTTAGATGAAATCTTTCCTCTTTTGTTTATTTGGTAATCATGTGATGCCATACTGACACATTAAGGATCATCATCATCAGAGATACTTTCATAATTTTGTAAATCATCAAGTCTTGTTCCAGGTAAAAAACTCACATAGTTTAGGCAAATCAAAATCAACTGTAATGAGAAAGTGCACTTCCTCCCAAACAAGTTCTAATTGTCTCCCTCTACTAGGAGAAGCTTGAACTTCTAAAAATCCTTTGTTCTGTTAGAGTTAGGAGTGCATTTTCCCCAGTCATTTCTTACATTTTGCAGGAATTTATGCAGAGCTCAGACTTCATGTTAAAAAAAATTCCACAATTAAAATGAGGTTTAAGTGGTGATGTTTAGACAGTCCTAAAAAGCTGATGTCAAACATAGTTTTCCTATAACGTAATTAAGTCATAAATGCTTAAAGATTAATCAATGAAGATTTTGTTATAAATATGTAGGCAAATAGTTGGTATAAGAGAATGGTGTTTGCTACCTGTGAGATCTATTACATTTCTTGCATTTTTTTTTTTTCCTGACTCTTTTGCCATCACACTGAGTTTTTTTAAAACAGGAAAGCAGCTTGGCTTTGAACAGTTTTCCCTGGGTTCCCAAGCACATGCTGACGTGCTCTTTTTCTTTCAAACTACAGCTCCAGCAGTTTTCCTACTGCCTGGGTTTTCTTGTTGCACTTGCTGTTTCCTGGCTTCCTCCTCTGCAGGCCAGCACACTGCAACCACTGACTGCTGCATGAGCAGTAAGACCAGCAAGGGCTTTGCAAGATGGCATGTGGAGGGGCAGGTTGCCTCTGTGTGGGGCACGTATCCAAGCTTGGGTCTGACTGACTGATCAAACACATGCATAAGACAGTATTTGAATGTAAGACAAGCCAAGTTTCAGGAAACTAATTAAACACAGTTCTTTGGCAAAGGATGAAATGTTTAAGCAAGTAGGATTCTTTCACCTCGTATTTCAGATCTTTGTGATGTCTCCTTGATTTCACAATTTTTCTATTAAAAGATACAGAGTGTTTTTATATGTGATGTCTCAATTTGTTTCTTTTATATTTTATTTTATTTTATATTGGATGTCTCAATTACTGTTCCTTCTAGTCTTGTCGTTACATCATACCTACACTGGGGATAATGTAGAGGTGTTCAATTCTGAAGTTATCATTTGGTGACTTTCACAAAGCTTTATCTTTTGCCTTGATAAGACTGATTTCTACATAAAGAGTTAGATTCTTGCTTACAGTAAGACTAATTTAGAGGCCTAGCCTTGCAGAAGAATTTTAGACATACTGAAAATGCTCATTTCAGGATTTTCCCACTTTGTTCTTAATGTAAGAAAAAAACAGGGTGGAAAAATCAAAACAACACTTATTTGTACAAGACATATTACTGAAATGTTCAGTAGATACTTCCAGGTTCTAACAGACAGAAGCTGCCTGGTGTGGATCAAATTCTCCAGCAAAATGGGTGTCAGGGCTGTAGTCATCCTGTAGCTTGTAGTGTAAGTAGATATTTCCAAATATAGTTCATATTCATGAATTACTGTTTCAATATTGTTTTGCTTTTCAGATTAATAATCAGGAGAGATCACTTGCTTGAAGATGCCTTCAACCAGATTATGGGTTACTCAAGAAAAGACTTGCAGAGAAATAAACTCTATGTCACATTTGTTGGGGAAGAAGGGTAAGTAGAACAGGGAAGTAAATGTAATCTCAAAACTGTCTTGCAGCTGTGCTGTTTCGCTGAAGTTTTTGTGGTCTAGAGTGAAAAGAGGAAGGACTGTGGTCAGGAAATGCCACATTTACAAGCCTAGAACATACAGCTGTTCAGGATGACTGTTTTAGGCTTTGTGAAATGTAATGCATCCTGTCTTTGCAGAAGTAATACATGTGTTTATGTGAATTTTCACAATAGTTAGTGTGTGTTGTAGAGTGTTGCCGGGAAAGCAAAGAGAAAAACAAACTGCTTTTTTCTGTTATTCATATTTCTTTTCTGTCAGTGCTGTTATTGTATCTCTAGTGCCTGTTAAAAGACAGCTGCCATTTGCTGGAGAGGGAATGCTTCCAGAACAGGCTAGATGCTTAATCCCTAACTGCTTTCTAAGGCAGAGGGATCTAAAAGCTCTCAGTGCTGCAGGAGGCTCTCATAGTCTCTCTAGGCCAGGGCCTGCTTCACAAATCAAAGCAATTAGGCTGTTACCAGTTGTCAAATCAACACAGATTTTCCTCACATTACAAAGTCACTTCAGAGAATGCTCAGTCTATGTCTGATGAAAATCTGATGTCTTATAGATTGTGAGGTGCACATTACTGGGCAAGATGTGGTCAGGTTTTCTTTGCAAGTGTAAGTGGAACAACGTAGTAATTACATGAGTGTTTTTCTGAAGAAATTGAAAATTTTGTTCTCTGATATGTAGGAAACTGCAGCACACATCTCTTGGACTGCTGTAGTATGCATGATTGCCATGCAATGTGCATGTCTATTTTTAAAATAGATACATTGTTATAGAGACATCTCATTCAAGATTAGATTACTTTGAAAACTGCTTAAAGTTTACTCTGAGCTACTTACTGCTAATAAAGACCTGGTGAAGTCTTAAAATGTTGACAGCTGAGAGCCAAGTGTGGACTTGTTCATATAAATAATATCACTGTGCTGTCTGAGGAAAAACTCAGAACTGGAATGACGAGGCTGATGCAGGATGAGATTACAGTGTATTGACAGAGCAGGGTGGGGATGCAGCAACGAGGTCTGTCTTACAAAGCCCTACTGGCCTTCACTTTTGCAGCTGCAGCCTCAACTCCGATTTGAAAATGAAAGGGAAAATTTGAAAATCATACATGAGATAGAGATTGATCCAGATAGACTGTCTCCCTTCATCAGACATCAGGCTTTTGCATTGCATCACTTAGTACAGCGAGTTGAAGAGTGACCTAGAAGTGGAGGTGACACTGTTTCCACTATATCTAGCTGTAAACAAGACTCTGTTCTTAATGGAAAAGAATGAGTTAATGGAGTAAATTAAAATGAGGTCAATTCTCTATTTACAAATCTGTGTTGTGAATGAAGAAAGGATATGTGCAAACAGTACTGTTTCATCAGAGATGGTGCAAGGATATGTATCACATTGAACCTTTCATTTGGCTAGGTGTAGAAAGACAGGTCAGGGTGGAGGAGGAAAAATACTGGAGGTGGATCTTTTCCTATTTGTTTCTCCTTTTTTTTGAAGAAAATTCATTGGAAGTTTGCTGTTGCGTTGCTTCTCCTCTTGGTAGAGAGGTGTAAGACTAAAAGCAAAGGGAAATACAATTCTCAGATTAAAACAATCTGAGAAACTTTTGTTGATGTATATGTTAGTGAGTACCACAGGCACAGTTAATTGCCATTCATACAATTTTTTGTGAATCTCATAATGTTGAGTATTTTCCTTGAACCTTCAGTTTCTGCAGTCATGTAACTGCGATGCAGTTTAATGTTTTAATGTTTAATGTTTTTTGTACTCATGCTTTATTTGGGGAAAGTGAAGAAAATTTTAATGCAAAGAATGTGATTTCTTAAAGTTATTTTTCCTAAGTTCTGTGAACTATTAGCAGAAGCTGGTTTGTGTTTATAGTGATAAATCTGAAATATTAATGGCGCTTCCCAGGAGACATGAGTCACGTTGCCAACAACATATTTCTCTGCTCCTGAATACCCAAATACCCTACAGTTGCAGCTGCTGTGTGGTTGCATACCTCTTGTATGAAGTTTTCTCACCCTTGTGCCAAGCCTTTAATTGTGGGTTAAATCTGACTGACAGTGCAGGACTCTCTTGATTGATTTATTTAGCATGACTCACAGTAACACCATGTACAAAGGGAGCTGTATGCAATGGTTGATAGTCAGGCACACAGTTTTTGTTCCATCTTCAGTTTTCACAGTGAGTCTCATTATCCCAGAAGTTTGTAAGAGTCTTCCAGACAACCTTTCTTGATCTGCTATTTGTGCCAAGATTAAGATCCGACTGTGTCCATGATATCAAACTGTTATTTTTTCCTGCAAATTGAGGATGGAATCTGCCCTCCTTGCCAGGGTAAGAATCTGTTTCAGTACTTTGCTTCTGAAGCTTAGCAGAAGCTAAGTGCTTCCAAATGACTGAAGGGAAAATATTTTTCCTTCAACACAAGAAAGAGGCTTTGTCCTTAACTTGATAATGGTACCTAGCTCTTATTCTCCTGACAACGTCGTCCTCAGAAAGAACTCTCATCTTCTGTTAAAGTTCATGAGCCAAAACATTAGTAGCAAAGTCCTATGTGAAACCTGACTTTCTCTGTGATGCTTTTGTTTGTGTGTTGTCTTAGTACTAAAGCAAGACCTTCATAAAAATCAAGTATGAAATTTTCAAGCTATCGAAAATCTATTTATTAGGACTATATTAATCTTTCTCCCCACAGGAAAACCTCTGGTTTTCTTCCTCCAATAAAGCATTAACTTCATACTTAACTCATTTTACTGGTGACCTGCAACATAATGTCAAACTCAGTCTTGGTGCTTTGTCAGCAGTGAGTTTGTTTATGATACAAGAAGAGGTTTAGATTCCTTGTTCATTAGTGCTGGAATCTTGGAATAGCAAAAAAACCCAAAACAAAACAAAAAAAAACCAAAAAACAACAAAAACAAAGGAAATAGGTTCTCCAAAAGACATTTAAGTGCACTCAACTTTGGAAGACAGACAAGAAAAAATTTAGACCAAGAAAGAGAAATCACTTAATATCAATTGCTAGGAAAAACAGAAATATTTTCCTTCAGTTGTCCTACTGTTGTAAGTCTGCATGGGCAAAATACAGCCATTTTCTATTTTCATTCTTAATTTTTCAGATGTAGAGGGGTTCAATGTTGCCTCTTTTCATGTTTCTTCTCCCTCCCCTCAGACACTTCTTGCCTTCACCTCTATTTATTTGATTATATTCTCATGGCAAAAAAAAAAAAAAAACAAAAAAAAAAAAACCAAAAAAACCAGAAAGCATTACAGCTAGAGCCAAAAATTTTGATGTAGAGCATTTCCTTCCAGTCCTCCAAGTCATTGCTTTTCAGAGGATCCTCACAAGAACTTCACATCCCTTGGCATTAAGCAATCTGTTGGATAAGGGTTCTGGTTAAAATCTTAGGAAATTTTAATGGAAAATGTACTGTAAGGAATGTAAATTCAAAGGAGTGTTCCTTTGCACACAATAAACACTGTATAGTAATGTCAAGTTTCTTTTTAAAGGTTGGACTACAGTGGACCTTCAAGGGAATTTTTTTTCCTGGTGTCTAGAGAGCTCTTCAATCCATATTATGGTTTATTTGAATATTCAGCCAACGATACCTATACAGTACAAATAAGTCCCATGTCTGCTTTTGTAGACAATCACCATGAGTGGTAAGAACTATTTTTTTTTCTTTGCTTTTCAGATATCTTTGTCTTTTCTGCTGTTCCCATTTGCAGAGAATGCTTATATTTGCTCAGATGTATAGAACGTAGTTTGATCTTTTTAACCGGCAGCAAAGTAATTGCATTTCTATAGAATTTCCTCATTCTGTTTTCTCTCGTGGTGGTTTTAAATGATCCTATTTCTCACGAGGTCAGCAAAAGTGTGGTTTGGAACATGTATTGTGGGATTATCTCACAGCACAACATTCTGTGTTTTTTGTACTTCAGCAGACAGTCACTTCATGAAATCAAAATTAACTCCTTGTGCATTAAAAAATGCATGAGATTTTGGCTTGTTGTCAACTAAGAATATTAAGAGAGATTTCAAGCAGGTGTTGCTCTGTATTTGTTTATCTGCTGGAGGTATCTTAATTAAAGGGGAAGACTGATGGTTACATAGCTCTTAAGCAAAGACTGTACTATGTACACCCATACTTCTAAAATAGTTGGCAAGGATTTTTCAATCTCTTTTTCACACTCATAAGACAGTTCAAATCATGACATCTCTGAAAGTTTATGAACATTTTCTGTGAATATCAACAGACAGTTCTGTCATGTAAGCAGAATACAGTAATAATGGAGTGGCAACTGCTCATCTGTGTAGGACAGAGAGGTGTACTGCGCACTTATTTGCTGGAAACCATCTGTGAAGAGTGAATATCTGAAAAGAATCTCATTAATAGTTTTTAAAATAAGTAGAAAGCTAAACGTTGACTGTGTCCAGTAAGTTGAAACAGCCTTCCTGTTGAACTCCAATATGGCAGCATGTGAGAAAAGCAGAACAGTTGGGTGTTACGAAGCTTCTGCCTGCACTCTGGATTCATCCCTGGCTTCTGCAGTGAGGGACCAGAGACCTTGTCTGGGATGATGGAAGTGTCACCCTGCTCTTTCCCTCTTGGGCACGCTGGTGCCAGTGACAACACTGCTCTTGTACAGCCTCAGGGGATTTGGAGTGCATCTGTGACAAGCAGTTAAACGCAGAAGAAGAAAGCTCTGTGTCACATCTTGCAGAGCTTCTATACAGGCAGGCATAATAAAACCCTAATCTTTCAAAGTAAAATATGGCTCAGCAAGCATAAATTTTAAGAAAAAATGAACTTCTCAACTTAAATCTAGTTCCAAACATCTGTAGGATTTTTCATAATAGATCATAATTCTCACAAGCAGATTTGCCAAGACGCTCCTGTTCTGATGTTATGACCTCAAATCTATCAAACTCACCCCAGCCATCCTTATATACCCAAAATGAAGACAACAAGAAGAAACAGAGAGGGAAAATGAATGTGATCACATTGACATGAGGCTCTGAGATAAAAAAAAAAAATAAAAATAAATGAAGTAAAATAAAAAGCTTCTAGCCACTGTTTGTGAGAACACATGCAGAGGTCTATAGTCACCAGTCAGAAGAGGGAGCAAAATGCCGCTGTATGCAGAAACACAGTGATGAGTGTCAGTCTGGGGAAGTGCAGGAACCTTCAGCCGCTCGATGGCACAAGAACAAGTTAATCATAGGCAAGGTATGTAAAGAAAATGAACATTTTGTAAGATACATAAAAATATGCTATGCTTATAAATAGCATGGTCTGGCAGAGGCTAAGTAAGGATTGAGTTAAGTATGGATTTGACATTTCTGAGAAGCTACAACTTAGATATCTGAGGGATTTTCCGCACTCTGCAAACTTGCTTTTTTTTTTTTTTTCTGTGCTCTTTTGGGAGCATAAAAGAAACAGAAAAAAAGAAAAAACCACCGCAATTTAGACATAGCTATCTGACTTGAAAATGCTGTTTGGATGTATAAACAAGTTTTGATGACAGAGCAGTATACAAACCACAAAGTCTCAGTGACCGTAACTCTTTGTTTTCTAGGTTCAGGTTTAGTGGTCGAATCCTTGGTCTTGCTCTGATACACCAATATTTGCTAGATGCCTTCTTTACACGACCCTTTTATAAAGCCCTCCTCCGAATGTAAGTAGAATTGTTCTGTCTCCTTTTTGGTTTACTTCCTTGCCCGTGGACAGTAGCATTTTGTGCATGGATATCTTATCCTCAAAATGACAGGCCTTTACGTATTATTCAGTCATTTCATTTTAATCCAGCATTTTTTTAAAGGTTACTTGTTGCTGATTATGGTGTTAGCCTGCTACCTAATAACTTGGAATGCTCTTCATACTAATTTCATGCTGATCTGTATGATTTGTTTAAACTATACTAACAGCTTTCTTAACAAAATCCTACATTTGAGCTAGTAGAATGAAATGCTGTGGTTTTGTTCTAGATATTAATAGAGATGTTATTCATTTGTCTAGTAATGACTCATAAGATAGGATATGAATCACTTCTTAACTTTGACTGCAAGACTTGAATTCTCTGATTGCAGGCAGTCTCCCATTTTGAGGAGCTTTACTTTGATATGCTTCAGACTGCATTTTCAGAACTGTTACTGTTGTTCTGGCTTAAAAAATGTGAGCTGTGCTTGCCTGGGATGTCTGGAAGTTAAGGCATAGTGAAATTAAGGCACTTCAATTTTTGTCCTCAGTTTCAAAAATGTTATGGAGAAGGCTGGAAGGTTATCATGGAATCATAGAATCTTTTGAGTTGGAAGGGACACTTAAAAGTCATTTGGTCCAAATCCCCTGCAAAGAACAGGGACACCTGCACTAGATAAGGTTGCTCAGAGCCTGGTCCAGCCTGACATAGAATGTGTGCAAGGATGGGGCATGTTTCTTCAAAACATCATATATTTTACTAATAAGGGGTAATGCATCCACTCCTATTGCACGTAAATGTTTGAAGTTCCTATATGCTAATAGTCTCATTTTAAAGAGGATGAGGTCTTGCCCCAGATGAACTTTAATAACAATATCGTATAACTACCAAGTTAAATTAATTGTTTAACTTTCTGGTTCTTTGGGCAGGTGAGTGTAAGATGATGAGGTGACTACTTTTGTATGCAGCCTATTTTGTGCAATCTCCCCATCGCAGTCACAGATCTTTTCTTTCCTCAGAGCTTAGGAGCCATCCAAACCATCTCTGCAGATGGAGCATTGTGCCCAAGCCATCTGCTTTGAAATAGGGCCTGTTACTGCAGGGTGTCATTTCAAGTACATTTGAGCGTCCAATAAAAAAAAGTACAGGACTTCTTGCTGACTTTTTGCATGCCCAAAAATGGTAGCAGGCAAGAAACCCTACAGATGAAAAGCAGCTTACGTATGATTAGCCCCAGTGTGCTATTTCACAGCACAAGTTATTATCCAGAATTAAGAAGAATTTGCTACTCTAGTTTTAAATACTATTAGAAGCTCACGTGTTCAAATCTCGGAGAAGCAACTGTTAAAGATAGCAAGGGCAGTTGGCTTCCAGGTTGGATTTGTAAAAGAAGGACCAGGCGTGGGGAAATATGGCGGAAGTTAAAGAAACAAATAAGGCTGTTTTTGTGATAAGAAGACGATGTCTTTACAGAAAATATGAGATGGGCTCACTTTAAGCTTGAAAAGCAAGTGAATCAATTTTGGGGCTTTGTTAATGCGTAATATAAAGTTATACAGTAGCAGCTATTGTTAGGTAAATAAAGGGAGATTTGAAATAGCATCTTCTTTATTCTGTTCATGTTTCTCGCAGCTGACGTTACTCTCAGTCTGTTTTGCAGGACTGCTCTGAGTTTTGCTGCTGAACACACATTACTGCTGTCATCTGTATTTGTGTGTTTTGTTTTTGTTTATGTTAGACTCTGTGATTTGAGTGACCTAGAATACCTTGATGAGGAGTTTCACCAGAGTTTGCAGTGGATGAAAGACAATGATATACATGATATCCTGGATCTCACATTTACTGTAAATGAAGAAGTTTTTGGGCAGGTGTGCAAGATTCCTAATTCCTTTTCCTTTCTTCTCTGTGTTCTACTGCTAGATAAGCACTTACGTGAACAGAAAAATGGCTGTCATTCCATGCTGATTTGAACTTTTTTTTATGAAGTTCTGTTTGATCAAAATGATGTTGAAATTTTGGGAGTAGTTACTATTTTTTATTTTCTGGAAACTATCTGAAATATCAACATTTTGGATTGCTCTGCTGGAGGTAGTTTCCGTAAATTTAATTGCAGTAGAGTTAGCATTCAATTGGAACACCTTCGTTAGGACATTATTTAGAGACTTTTCTACTTTAATCTTTGTAAAGATTTTTTTTTCTTTCGAGCTTCTTCTTACGTTGCACTAAATATAATTTAATAAAAACAAACAAAAAGATTTATTTTGTGTTCTCTTGTTTCACATATTCCAATTTGCTAAAGTGAATCTTCACTAATGAGGAATTATTCAACTTAAAGGTTTAAATTGTTGTAAATGTTTCTTTTATCTTAATAATGCTGTGATTGTTTTCTTCTAAGATCACAGAACGGGAATTAAAGCCAGGGGGTGCCAACATTCCAGTCACAGAAAAAAACAAGAAAGAATATATAGAAAGAATGGTAAAATGGAGAATTGAGAGAGGAGTTGTACAACAGACAGAAAGTCTAGTTCGGGGTTTCTATGAGGTAAAAATAAATCTTAGCTGGAATTTACTTTCTTTTTTATTCTCGCTAAATATTTTTCTTCTCATATACATTTCTCAAATAAGTAGTCCCAAAACACTGGTGCATGTATAATCAGAAATGCCCTTACAGTATCTGTGTGTGTGTGCAAAAATCAGTGCTAGCCACTGACTTAAACTCTATGGTTCTTAAAACTGGGAGATACTTTTGATCATTGTTTATATGATTAGCAGTGCTAAAGTGAGCAGTCTCTTTCTGCTTTGTGGTTTTTAGTGTATGCTATACTCAGCATATCACAGCCAAGTGTATTTCAAATCATTTATATCTTACCTGCCTTATCACAAGCAATTAAATTGGATTATTGGAACTCTGTTTGTCCTGAAATCATTCACTATTATCTGTCAGTAAGTTTCTGCCCCAAGCACTGTGTTCCTCCTCAACTGTTTGAAACTGCAGCTTAAAACCTGTGCCTTTAAAAAGAAAATAAAATAAAATTCTATCTATTCATGAGAGAAATGTTACCTGATATATGTCTTAGTAAGAGATGAGCCTTTTTTCTTTCACAGGTGGTTGATGCAAGGCTTGTGTCTGTATTTGATGCAAGAGAACTGGAACTGGTTATAGCTGGAACAGCAGAAATTGACTTGAGTGACTGGAGAAATAATACAGAATACAGAGGAGGTAACATCAGCTTTTATTTGTTCATTGACTACTGCGGGTCTTGGAATTATCCAGCTTCTAAGATGCTAACGTATTATCCTGTGAGATATACCTTCAGTATCAACATCTGTATTTCTCTGTCTCTGTTTGCATTAGAAGAAGCTATTTTGTCCATTTTAGTTTGCTTCATTGCTTCCCCTTGCAGCTCTCCCCTTACCCTTTTTGTTGGACAGCATCAAAGAGCACAATTATCCAAAGACAATACTGTACTCAGAAGCATGCTACCAAAGCAGCACCCAGACACTGGAGACCAATGGAAATGGCATCCATTTTTAGTAGGGTCACCTTTTCTCAAGTCTTTCTTCTTTCAAGAAGATGAGAAATAATCCCAGGGACTGCCGTGTAGTTGTTAAGAACTGTATAAAGCATGGACGGGGAGATTTGAGAACTTCAAAAGAAATGTTGCAGTTTAAAATACATAAATAGCAAAGTGCTGGAACATTTCAAGAATTCTCTTTCCTATTAAAGATGGATTAATGAAAGGCATGCGTGCAAAAGAAATTTAATTTCTTTTTTGTCATTGTAAATTGATTCTCTAAGATTTGTAAATATTTCAGGAGGTGCTTTCTATCATCTGCCTTTTGCTGCAGGTGGTTAAGAAATGCAGCATTACAGTGACGAGGGCTAAATTAGGAAAGACTTATTCACTGTTCTCTCAAATATTTTTGTAGCATTAAAGCTATGAGCATCTTCTTGTTTTAACAGGTTATCATGACAATCACATCGTAATTCGGTGGTTCTGGGCTGCTGTGGAAAGATTCAACAATGAACAACGACTAAGACTTCTGCAGGTAAGAAATCAACTGTTCTGAATAGAAATTGTGTCTCTAAAACTAGTTGCTAAACTTGCTTTACTTAAGTTTTCGATATCCAAAAATAATGATGATGCTAATAATCTGAACAGCATCAGATAGTAACTTGTAATAATTTTAAGTGACTGAAACTCACGTCTGTATTCTTACTTAAATTTACATCTGATCATTGAGTTACCCGTATGAGTAGAAAGGAGGAGTGTTGAGCTATTTAAGCACTTCACTTCAGAATGCATTCCTTTTCTTATAGTATCTTTTGCTGTTTATAATGATATTGAAATGCACAGGGCCAAAAAGGCCTTACACAAAGCCTGCGTGATTATTTTTTCTTAGTTCCTCTTTATAAAGAATAAAAACAGCAGGGGAAAAAAAAAAAGAGACTTATGCCTAAGCTAAAATAACTTTATATTAATAGTGTTTTCTCCTATAGTACTTGTATAGGATAATTACCCTTATCCTGGCTTTCAGAGAGAACCCTTTGAAGGAAATTAATCTGGGAAGTTGTCTCTTCTGAAGCCCTATCAGGAAACGACCTGTTTTCCTTTATCCTGCATTTAAAATAGCATTTATTACTTGTGTCTCACAAATTTCCTTATTTTGCAAGTGCTTTTACATAAGCACTTGGACTTCAGTGAGTATGCTGACATAAATAAATTCCTAACCTGCACCATCTGTGTATCCAATATTGTTGATCCTTTCTTTGTGCTGGCAGTTTGTTACAGGCACATCCAGCATACCTTATGAAGGCTTTGCCTCTCTAAGGGGAAGCAATGGGCCAAGAAGGTTCTGCGTAGAGAAGTGGGGGAAGATCACAGCCCTTCCAAGGTACAACTGTGTGTAAAAATTGCTTTAGTGATGTTAATACTAGAGTTACTTGGGAACAGGAGTTACTGGACTGACAGATAAACAAGCTTTAAGTGAATAAGCAAGCATGCTTTGCTTTACGTGAAAACTTACATCCTCATTATTCCACTGTCACAAATTTTTCTTTTAAATCTTTTTGTTTTTCCTTAATAGAACGGACAAGGCAACATAACAGTAGCTGATGTCTATATTTGAATGCTTTTTTGGGTGGGAAATTATATTAGATTGATAATCAGTTGTATTTTTAATTTTGTTATATTTTGTTTGGTTAAATGTGTTTTATTTACTTACTGAATGTTGCAAGGTGGCTGTCCAACACAAGAAGGCTTTGTTAAACAACCCTTAGATGTTTCCTCTAGCTGAATGTCAGAGGCAGGGACATCTCTAGGGTTGGCTTCTGCCTGCAGAACCATTGAACCACACTTTTAAAGTCAAAGAAACAGAGATGTCACTGTGAGATCCACAGACACAGCAGGAGGCCTTTAAACAAACCCATCTTACCACCTTAATTTACAAGCAGATTCTGGAAATGGTCCAACAAATACTCGATGTCTTTTGAGGGCTTAATAATAGCTGGTAGTCAGATAAGCCTACTTTATAATTTATTATCACCTATGAACTAGTTGTAATTATATTTAAAAAGAAAAAGCTTTCATTTGTGACTTCAAAATCAAATTACTTTTCTTGTAGTTTTAAGTAAGAAAATGAATTGTAGGAGCCTATGTCTATATTCTCTAGTACTGAAATTCCTGGTGTTAACAAACACAGACTGCAGTGTGGAAAGGGTCAGGACATGCCCGAACAGGATGATCAGAATTTCCTCTGAAAAGGAAATTCAGAGTCTTAATTGTAGTGAACAGAAGAATTAAACTATTTCCTGTAGAGCAGCATGGAGCAATCTGTTAAGAATATAAGCTGCTACATTCAGTTCAGGTAATAAGTGGGAAATGCCAGCTACTCGAATTTAGGAGAATCGTGACCTTGGAAGTTTAGCTTACAATAGTGTTGTTTAGGGAAAATTTTACTTCTGTCTCTGTGAATAGCTTTTAACACACTTATGCAAATGTGAGTGTTAAAATAACCCAATGCTACAAGTTGTTTGTTAACTGTGTATGACAAACATCTCACAATTGTTGTGAGCTGGCAATTCCTGACATTCATGTGTAGAACTTTGGTCTCATAAAAAAATAAATGGTCTTCCACGCTTATGCTTAAGTGGACTAAGCCCTCAGCAGAAAGCTGTACTTACATTTTAAAATATCTAGTTCCTTGTACAGTCTTAGCTTCAGCCTGAGTCTCACTATTGTCAGCCTGAGCCTTGCCAACTTGAGGGACTTAGTGTGCAAACACCAAGTAGTGCTGGCTGGAAGGTAAGACATTGTTAAGAGTGACCCTGAATAGCAAACTTGGAAGAGGTTTCCAAACAAGCCCTGTTTGTAAACATGCTACTGGATTTGCTGGAATGCTACACTGGGACCCCTTGACTCTTGCTGATTCTCAGGTAACAAATGCATTGTTACACCTTGCAAATTGTCCTTTTGATTTCAATGGGAGTGTTTGTAAACTCAGGTAATGCTTGGCATGAGGATGGCAAAAGCGAGGGTTCAACAGGTTAGTGGATTTTTTTTCCTTCTATATCTAAAAGAAGTACAATACAGCTAAAAGCACACAAAAATAGCCGTCCCTATCTCTTCCTTATTTTGAGACAGAGAAGGCAACTGATACAGTTACATATGTGATTGTAGTCGAAGAGGCTGTGAATACAAACACAAAAGCATTCGATGTTTATGTAATTTACACTTTTCTGATTGCTTGTAATCAATTATTCTGGATCAAAATAGTGAGATTTCTTTGAGGCATATCAAGTTCACAGAATCTCAAGGTTTGGAAGGGATGTCAAGAGATCATTGAGTCCAACCCCCTGCTGAAGCAGGTACCCTGCAGTAAGTTGCATATGTAGGGATCCCACTGGATCTTGAGTAGCTCCACAGAGGGAGGCTCAACAACCTCTCTAGGCAGCCTGTTCCAGTGCTCCATCACCCTTCCTGTAAAGTTCTTCCACATGTTAGTATGGAACTTCCTGTGTTCAAGTTGTAGGCCATTATTCCTTGTCCTATCACTACACACTACCAAGAAGAGCCTGGCCTCGTCTGTTTGCCTCTCACCTCACTTTAGATATTTATAAACATTTACCAGATCCTCTCTCAGTCTTCTTTTCCCCAGGCTGAACAGACCAAGGTTACTCAGCCTTTCCTCACAGGGCAGGTGCTCCAGGCCCTTTATCATCTTCAGCCCTAAGTTGTACACAGATACAGGCTGGGCTGAGAATGGCTTGAGAGCAGCCATAAGGAGAAAGATCTGGGACTGTCGGTTGCTGAAAGATTCAACGTGAGCTGGCAATGTGCACCTGCAGCCCAGAAGGCCAGCTGTATGCTGTGTTGCATCAAGAGAAGTGTGACCAGCAGGTTGAGGAAGATGATTCTGCCTCTTTACTCTGCTCTCTTGAGACTCAACCTGGAGTACTGCGTCCAGTCCTGGCACAAGGAGGACATGGAGCTGCTGAAGCTGGTCCAGAGGAGGGCCACAAAGATGATCAGAGGGCTGGAGCACCTCCCCTATGAGGACAGGCTGAGAGTGCTGGGGCTCTTTAGCCTGGAGAAGAGAAGGCTCCAAGGAAACCTTATTGCTATCTTCCAGGACATGAAGGGGCCTGCAGGGAAGCTAGGGAGGGACAATGGCAGGTCACAACTGCATGAGGGGAAATGGCTTTGAACTGGAAGAGGGTAGATTTAGATTAGGAGGAAATTCTTTACTGTGAGGGTAGTGACACACTGAAACAGGTTGCCCAGTGAGGTTGTGAGTGCCCCCCCCCTGGAAGCACCCAAGGGCTGGATGGGGCTGTGAGCAACCTGGTCTAGAAGGAGGTATCCCTGCCTATAGCAGGAAAGTTGGATCCAGATGATTTTAAAGGTCCCTTCCAACCCAAACTATTCTCTGTTTCTATGATTTTGCTGCTGTAATACTGATCAAATTACAATGAAGTGAAGCTTAACTGGAAATCTGGACTTCAGGAACCAAGATATTTTTTATGTTTCTGGACACAAACGTGAGTCTGGGAACACAGACATCTAGTGTTTCCACAAGGTTTGAGATGCTAGAGGCAAAATGCTGTCCAGGGGAACAGAAAAAAAAACAACAAACAAATAACCTTCCTTCCTGAAGCTTTAATAAGATTCTCGTGAGGATGAGAAACACATACATTCCCCCAGTAGACCAAAATCTTACGTTTTTGTCTTTTTTAATGACTTGGTTTTCCAAAGTAGGTGATGATGTTCTGAAAATTGCCTTCAAAATTAAGATAGAACTCAATTCTCTTAATAAATGTAAACAATATGCCAAATTGCTATTAAACCTTTGCTAATTATATGCCACGTCTTTCGTAACTTGTGGTTTTACAGCCCACACAGCATGATCCATACTTCTAATGAGTGGTTTCCAGCCCAGTGCAGCAGAAGCATGTGGTTAAGCTGCAAATTGCATGAAACTCTTCCACAGTTTACTGTGATTGCCTACCCCTTCCAGACACCTTGCTCCAATTGTCCAATTGCTGCCAGGTCTAAATCAGCCTCTTTCTTCTAAGTGGAAGCTTTTATAGAAAAAGCCAAATACAATGTTAGTTGGTTTTTGGAAAGGCAAAACAGAAATGCAAAGAAAGCTTTCTTCCAAGAGCCTCAGTGGGATGGCATAGTGAAGAAATTTTTATTGGGCTGCTAGAGTTCATGCTGGGGAAATGTTCTCTCCACTGTGCAGCATATACTAGTGTTGTACTTTCAAGCATATCATATTTGGGGGTGCAAAATTCAAAAAACTTTTTAAAAGTGATTGCATATTTGATGTTTCAACCTGTTTGTAATGACAACATGGCCTTCTTTATTGTGTATGCTTTTCCTCAACCTGATATATTTATGACACTGTAAGACTGCTGAGTTTCCCCTTCATTGAGGATTTGTAATGGTCTCATGTTTTTAACAAACTAGGTTAGCCCAGTCGTGTTCTATTCCAATAGTTGGGAGCGGAGAGCCACTTAAAACAGCAATTAATAGATTTGATACCATGGGAGGCAGCACTTTCTGCTTTAAAGAAAGCTTTTTACAGGTCTGTCACAGACACAGATTTCTGGAAGTGGTTGGATTAAATGAGGAGTTGCATTCTCTGTGAGGAAGGATCTTGGTCTGACCCATCATTCATGTTACAATTTATACTTAATATGGGCCACAAAGATTAAGGGCAGGTCACTTGCCAGATTTGTTGTATTTAAATAGCTGTGAGATGTGCTTTATCATGAAAGAATGAAATATTTCTAAACAGACCTGCCAAAATACAAGAAGATCTTCATCCTCAAAAATAAATCCAAAATGAGGCTTTGGTAAACAGCTTCCAAGTGGAAAAGATACCTCCTCCAGTTTGTCTTCCATTCATTTTTTTCTCAAGAAGCCATCAAGTTAATAGCTCTATCTATTTCACTAGAACTATTTCACTATAGTATTTTAGAAAGTATTATCCTTGGCATGCCCTGGGATCAGGCAATGATACTGATTATTCTACTAAGAGAAGAAACATACATTACTTCCCTTTTTACTCTTTGGAAGAGGTCTCAAAATTCAGTTCAAAGATGGACTTTGAAAACAGAGAAAGAAATCAGCCACGTGTTTTCTCTTAAGAAGGCCCAATGGTGTTTTATAGCTACTTGCATAGTTCTTTGTAATTACAAACAGTAATTCTAAAGGTCATTGACTTGCTGGATCAGATACACAGATAGTGCTTGTGCTTATTTACAACATCTCCCCAGAAACACAGTCCATGCTGAGGAAATGTGCAAGGAAGAGTGTCCTATTTGTCTGTCTTTATTTACTATGGGATTGTTGCCTTGAATATCTGGCATATTGTTTAGTATTTCATCAGTACATATTCATCATCCTGCAATGGATTGCAAATACAGTATTCAACTATCATCCATATTAAAAAAAAAACCTCATTTTAAGATGCATTTAAAACTGAGGCTTCATGACAGACTACTTGAATTGTATCATGTTATAGCATTGTCTCATGCACATTTAGTGGGTAAAATTTATCCCATGTCTTTTGAGCTGTAAGTATGTTTCTAAGTGCCTTAATGAATGCCTCTTATTGGCTTATTATAATCAGAGTACGTTAAACCTCACTACTTGTTCAGTTGGAAACATTATTTGAGGGAACAAAATCTTCTGAAAGAACACTGGCCATCTATACATAAGTGCATATCAGTCTGCCTAATTTCTTTTGTTTAAAATAATATACTTCTTTACCTCCTCTTTTTCCCCTCAGGGCTCACACTTGTTTCAATCGTCTGGACCTTCCCCCTTATCCATCATTTTCTATGCTGTATGAAAAACTGTTGACTGCAGTAGAAGAGACAAGTACTTTTGGACTTGAGTGATACACAAACCACAGTGCCCAGCTCTTTGAACTTTTGTGGACCTGACTTCTCAAAGAAAAAATGAAGATTTGTATTGGATTTCAGATTGACATTCCGATAATGAGGTTCCATGAAGGAGCTTATGAAGCAATTAAAAACCTTGTAATAGTGGCAGAATTCTCTACAGTGAATCTGGAGTGTGCCTGAAGTGCAGGGAAAGCCAAGTCTTGCAACCCACGCTTTTTCAGGATAATCAAACTTCCTACGATTTGTTGTGAGCAAACAAGAAATGCGTGATCCCATGTTGTGGTCAGCCTGGCTACTGCAAAACTGACATGTACCTGAAAACTGGATTTCACCAAAGTTGATGGATAGAAAATTCAAGTCAAAATGTGAAATCATTCAGGCCCCACCTACACAGTAAATCAATGAAAAATCATACAATATAGTTTTTTGGTTTTTGGTTTTTTTTTTTTTTTAGTATATTCATGAAGGTACATTACTTAATGCCATGTGTTATAACAGCATATCCAGTACTTGATAAACCTAAGACTACGAGTGCCTGCATGAGGTGCACCACAGAGTTCAAGTTCCTGGGGCAGAAGTGAATTGGAAGTAAAGTCAGCGAAGGATGAAACAACAGTGGCTTGCATTAAGGAGGTTTGTGAAAATGTGTTTGCCAGTGGTGTGTATGACAAAAGATGAGCTATTATAATGAACTGAATAACTTAATAGGACTGATTTTATGATTTATACTGCATGGAAACTATTTTAAGAAGAAACTAGCAATTTATCACAGCATATCAGGAAAAAAAATCCTAACACGGTGACTTCTGTTTATTTTTATAGGTTCATTATATTATGTTTCTTAGAGTGTAAACAGGAAACAAGCAAACTAAAATGCTCTTTCTGTTTTTGTCACGTTCCATGCTTGAACAGACATTCTGCTGGTGTTTATTCTTTAAGCACTCTCAAGGGAAAAAAATGCCTTTTATTTTTATAAGAGTAAAAAATTCCCAGAAATATTTTGCACTGAATGTACCAAAGTTGAAGGGACATTATGATCTGACTGACAGCAAACTGCATCACTATCAAGTATCTATAAAAACACTTAGGAACCAGGCTTTCTTCACGGTGCCGTGTCTATAGATATCAGGACTGTGCACATAAGTAATAATTTTATAATACTATATGTGATATTGTAATATGCATTTATTTTAAATGCAGCTGGATCATTTTTTCATGCATTGGATTACTTAATGCAGTGGAGTTTAGTACAGACATTTCATACGGTCCCCACAACTTTTTATTTGTACAGCACCACAGAACACTAGCTTATGTGGAAATCCACGAGTAACCTACTGTAAGGTGAGCTACTGGTCATAATGCCACTGTTGCATATCAGTGAACTCCCACAAGATGTAAACTGTTCCTTAGTCTTGCATTTTCACTGATAGTTTTCTTGCATTTTCACTGATAAATAGTTTTCTTATCAAATGTTATTTGAAAGAGTTTTTATAGCCTATCAGACACTGCATGGACACCAATTTCTTTATGCTTAATTTTGCTGAAATACACAAGGCTTGCTTGCATCTATTTTTGGTACTTTCCTCCAGATGGTTTTGTGGAACACTAATGCAGCTGCGCACCCTTTCTCATGCAGCTGCTGCTACACAGTGCATCCACATTGTTTAAATTCCAGGAAGTTGCACTTGGATACTGGATGACAAGAACATGAATCTAGTTTTGCGCTAGCACTCGTGATAGTGCCGAAGCACAGCACGCTGTTTTGTGAGAAAAGTAGCCTCTGAGGTAAACTTAACTTTCCTGCTTTGGAGACTCTGGAAAGGGCATCTCAGGGAGGTATCCTGCTTGGTCCTGGGGAAATGTTTTTCCATGGATGCGAACGTCACTAGAGGTGTTGTCAGCAAAGACTGCTGTTCCGCCCTCCAAGTTGGAAATGTATGTGCAGCCACGCAGCAAAGATTGAGGAAACCCTTTAAGCTTCCTGAGCAAACATTACATGTGCAAAGGAAAACCCAGTTGCAAAATCAGAGTGAAAGCCTTCTTTGATTTCAGGAATAATTGAGCTTCTGCATGCCATTTGGGACTCCATTAGCCAAGTAACATAGGCTTTCTTGCACTACTTCTGGCTGGCATGAAATAGCAAAGAGAAATCCAACCACGTCTCCCTACTTTTAGACATATATTTAACAATCTTTGCTAAATTGCATGTCACGGATGCTAACGTGCATCTTTTTTCAGAGTACAGATAAGCAGTAGGCAGGTCACTCCAGCATTGCTTGTGTTTCCTGTGATCCATTCACTGAGTAGCTAAAACTCCAGAGCTCAAAGCAGAACACAACTTTTGCTTGGTTGAAGGACTGAAGAATTTTGTTTTTACAGTACTGTGTTATCTGTGGTCTAAAAAAGAGATTTCCCAGGTGGAAACTGTATCTAAACGTTTTGAACCAGAAACCTATAATATTTGGCACAAAGTAAGTTTATACTAGTCTGCCTTTAAATTATGCTTTTGTACAAATCAAGAACAATAAATGCATCTTGTCAATTTTTATTTAAATATATTTTCTGCACACATTTGTTCGGTATTTAGAGATACACAACTGAAAGTAGTCACGATGATCCATTATTCTGTAAAGATGTGACAGGATCAGCATCGCAGCAGCTGTCAAAAAAATCTGGAATCCATGTAGCATTAAGACCTGGAGAGACTGAGGAGAAGCTCCTTCTTGCTCTTTTGCTGCCAGCACTGCCTGGAGGACTGTCAAAAAATGTTATTTGAAAGTTAGCTGCCCAAGTACAGCTACGCATGCTGCCTCGAGCACACCACGCGTGATGATATAGGCAGTGTTCCTGCTCTGAAGAGATTAGTAGGGAAGATGTATAGAAAATGAAGTCTGGGCTCTCTGAGATCCCCACGTCTCTTGGTTGCTGAGTGGAATTTCTCCCTTCAGTGTGGGAAGCCATTTCCATTGAACACATCCCATGCGGAAGCCAACTTCCATGTCCTCCAGATGGCTACAGCTGGTGACCACAGTGCTTTAGTTATGCAGTCCTGTGGCAGGCAGAAGGGTCTGCAGGATGGAGAAAAGTGAAAAAGCATTTCTGAAAGCCTTGCGTCTCCTCAGAGATTTTGCACGGTGCTAAGAAGCTTTCCACGTAGGGAGGAAAAAAGCTTGTCTCCAGGAAGTAGGCAAAAGATTCCCTTCAGCTACTGTGTGATGAAAACTTGTGCAGGCTTCACCTGCAGCATCTCCATTGGGCAGGAAGTCTGGCTGGAGAAGCACCCACAAAAGTTGGAGTGAGGTGCCCATGAGGTGCTCTGCTTGCTGGAAAGCTGAGCCATGCATTGCTAGCCAAAAAGCATCTGGCAGGCCCTTGTCTGCTGTGTGGCACACAGCACCCCAGGGACCATGCCAGTCTTCCTCTGCAGTGTGCTCATGCCAAGTTTCAGCCCCCAGCAAGCCAAGGTATTCTCTGTGTGCCTTGTTCTACCTCTCATTAGCTTAGCCAGAACGCTCCTGAATATGCTGGGAAAGCTCATAATCATTGAACTGATGCAGCGTTGTGCCTACTGGAGCAAGCAGTACAGAGTCTGCAAGCCAGAAGTAACATCAGCTTTCAGTCACAGCAGGTAGGAGAGTGCCATCTGTTACGTAGGTAGCACCACCAGCAAGTTGCAGGTATCTATTGAAAGTATTATTTCAGTCCAAAATAAAATCCAGTTTAACACAGTTCTGCTGGTTGGAAACAAACCTTTTCCCCACCCTGCTGTCCTGCTGTTTTTCTTTGGTATTCATCAAATATTTGCCCTCCACCCCTTCCCCCCCCTTTTTTTTTTCTTTTAAAATAATTGTGCTTGTCTGTGTTGTGAGCCTATCATAAAAAGGCGATAATGTTTAGAGAGCATCTAGGGTGAAATCTATCTATTTATGCTGCGTTCCTTGTAATCTTCAGGGAAACTAAAAGTCGAGGCAGCAGTGTGCTGGCAGCACATCAGATGAAGTTTCTGGCATGAGAAACTGAGTTTCTGCCAGAGCAGCAGACTGGCATTTTGCTTAGTTTAAAATTATAGGAAAGGAAACAATTTTGAGGCTTCCTATGTATTTTTATTTTTTATTTTTTTTAAGTCTCAACAACAACAAAAGCTTCCTTCAGAAGCATTAGCAGCGGTATCATCTGGTTACTAAATGCAGTCGCAGCAGGGCTCATTGCAGATGTTAACTGAGTTATTCCAGTGTGAACTGCAGAGGTTTATGGAGATATCTGCAAGTACACGGTCTGTGGACTGAGGCAATCATTCATAAAAGAGGAATCTGTGGTAGCTGTGTTTGAATAACCTGTGTATCTTCCTTACCTATAGCATAAAGCAAGTTAATTACTTTCAGCAATTGAAACATATTTGTATTCAATTATACTAGCAGTTATGTTTCTCTTGCCACTGATTTTTTTTGCGGGCTCAGGGGATAATTTATTCTTGTTAGCACTAATGGGTATTAATAAGCATGATCTCCAGTCACAAGATTATAAACTTAACCTTAAAAGTGTTACAGTTAACCTTGAAATAATAATACTCAACCACTGCTCTCATTTTCCCCTCTCATCTCTTCCTCCTTTAGGCAAGCATGTTGAACTCCAAGTGAAATTTCAGAGTAATTGCTCAAACCTGGCTTGTTAAACTGTTTGCTTCTTGGCCTTACTATGCAGCCAGAAAGAACTGCAGAAGTGTTAGGGGTTAACTAGCTCACTGCAAGTAAAAAACCTTCAAAATGTTATTAGCATGATCACAGTGGCTGCTATGGGACTAGTCTAGCCTTTTGCTTAAATATTTTGCAATAAAAAAGAATGTAAAGTGTTAAAGTTGAAATTCATTGCTTTCAGGAACAGTAAATATACATTAGGTAAATAGTGGTTTGGGGGGAGAACTTTCATGTAAATCCAACAAGAGTAAAAGCCTTATTATGACCCATGCTGACTAATACGCAAAACTGTCAAGCTGACCATATAAACACACAGTTTTCACAGTGTGTTTTGGTTTAATTTTTGCATTTCTTTCAAATAGATCATTAGCTTCACAGTGCTCAGTTCAGATTCATGCATACGTACTGGATTTCTAATATTTCAAATGCTCATTGCTATGAAAAGAGTTTTATTAAAACATTTCTAGTGCTTTTAAAATAATTTTACTGTTAAAAAAAGTATTTTTGGGGTTAAAACTTCATTTAGGGCTCTGCTTTGCTCACAGCTGCATTATGCTATAGGAATTTTAAGGTGTTTTAAACTCATGATTAATTTGAGAGTTCTTTTTAAAAACAGTGGCATTGTAATGAGTCGATTGGCACTACTTGGATTCCTCCTGACCACATGTGAAAGGATGACAGTCAAGGATTCCTCTGGAATGGTACAGCCCACTGCAGTATCTGTATGTATTAAAAATGCATAGCCTGAGGACTATGTGAAAGAAGTACTTCACTCATTAACTAGTCTCCTAAACTGATAATTGGAATCTTGAACTTACTTCCTTTACGTGTCAAATGCAGTCAGAGTACATTGCAAATGTAATCTGTAAGGAACAAATTAATGATAGATGTATTCCTATAAATCTTTTAAAGATGCGGTGAAGGTGAAAGGGAGCCAAGCTGTGTTTCTTCCAGACCTTCATTTCTTAAAAAACAAACTAAACTAACAAATAATGAAAATTATGGTTTTTTTCCTTAAAAAACAAAAATACAAGAAAAAACAACTTCCAAAAATGTATCTATCAGCCCCTACTAGAAAAGCCCTGTCTTACACAGAGGGCTTTTACTAAGCGTTCAGGAGGTACATTGTTCTACTAATTTAACAGTTTTTGGCTAGTAGCTACATGACCAGTTTTTAAATGTATTGTCCTACAAAGCTCCACAAGACTCTGGTCTCCTTTATGTTAGGCTGCTTTCCAAAAGTTGGCTGCCCTCTCCCTTTTGCAGTTTATCCTACGTCACTCTGAGACAGGGCAGCTGGTCAGCATTTGACTGCAACTGTATCGGAGTTGCAGAATGAGATTCTGGTGGTGGTTTATTTTTCCATTCAGAATTGGATCAGTCTCTTTGCATGAACAGCCAGCCCCCTTCAGTCCAAATTGTTGGTGGGATCATAGTTCCTCTCGCATTGTGAATGACTGAAGAAAAAAGATCTCTTAATGCCATATGTAGAATCACAGGATCTCCTGTGTTGGAAAGGACCCACAAGGACCACTGGGTCCAACCCCTGGCTCCACACAGAAGTCAAACCCCATGTCTGAGCACACTGTCCAAACACATCCTGAGCTCAGGCAGCTCAGGGCTGTGCCCGCTGCCCTGGGCAGCCTGTTCCGTGCCCACCACCCTCTGGGGCAGGACCTTTCCCTAATTCCTAGCTGAGCCTCCCCTGACACAGCTCCATGCCATGTCACTGTCACCAGGGACAGGAGATCAGCGCTGGTCCTCCATTCCCTGTGAGGAGATGCAGCCGCCATGAGGCTCCCCTCAGCTCCTCTGCTCTGGGCTGAACAAGCCAATGGACCTCAGCTGCTCTTCACACACCTTGTCCTCAGACCCTTCCCCATCTTTGTTGCCTGTCTAATGCTGACAGTCTTATTTACTTTTAGTACTGTGGGTGCCCAAACCCGCACCCAGTGCTGGAGGTGAGGCTGCACAGCACAGAGCCCTTTCCCCTGCCCTGTGGCAGCGCTGGGCCAGGTGTCCCTTAAAAGTAGTTGGCTGTTTTGGCTCCAGGCACACTGCTGCCATCACCTGCCATCAGCCAGCACCCCCAGATTCTTTTCTGTGGAGCAGCTCTTCAGCTTTTGTCCTCCCATCTGTACGTGTATCCAGGGTTGCCCCATCCCAGCTGCAAAATCCAGGACATGACCTTGTTGAACTTCACACTTGGTAATTCCCCAGCCCTCTGATGTGTCCAAATCTCTCTGCAAACCTTCTGCCCTTGAGGGAGTCAACAGCTCCTCCCAGTTTAGCATTGTCCATATATTTACTTAGAATACCTTAAAGTATGAAAGAAAACCTTCATCCAAGTCATGCTTTTTGGAAACCAGAGAGTTGATTACATATCCAAGGGTCAAACATCTTTTGACTTTGGGTTTATGGAGTTCATTATGAGGCAGTAGTTTTTCCTAGCAATATATTCTATCACCAGAAAAGCCCCAATCCAGTGGTCTGCTTCATGCCGTTGGCTGGAAGCACGAGCCCTCACAGGGACTCAGGTGAGTACGGATCCAGAGATCAGTGCAGCAGGGATTATTTATCATAGTAAGTCTGTGCCTTCCACAAATGAAGGCTTTGTCATACTGCCCTTCAACTGGTTTCATCCTTAAGATATTCCATGTTTCCATTGCTTGCGATATAAGCATCTCCTCACGTATTCTGTCAGTTACTGAAAAGCTCTCATTTTGGATCAGGAGCATTACGATTTGATAGTTAGAAATATTCGTAATGTGTAAATGTGGTCAATAAAAGACAGCTTTGCTGATTTAATGGCCACGCTGGCTACAGTCAGAAACTGCAGCTGAGTAAATTTTGAAAAGATTACTGTATAAAAAAGCAAATAAATCTCTGAAGCCTCGTAACTAATGCTGGGGAAGGAAGGTAATTGTAGGTGCAGTAAGTGATAAGATAGGGCAGTTCCACGCAGCAAGTACAACATAAAAAACGGAGCCATAAAGCAGTTCTTGAGTGACAACAGCTGAAAGAAGTAGGGACAGAAAAAGGCTTTGCAAAGAGGAGGTGGGACAATGAGCTGTGCTGACCACGGGAAGTATAAAAGGGGATACTTTTAGCTTTAAAATTAGGCTGTGATAACGTACCCAGGAAAAATGACGGTTCATCACGAGATGGATTGTTGTTAAAACATGGAAGATGTGTTTCGGCTAACTATTTTAGGTTTTGAAAACGTAAAGCGTGCAATCAGAAGAATATTTACTGTGTTTTTCTCGGTTTGTTTATTTATTTATTTTATTTGGACCGCTCTCAGAAAAATGAAGATTTTTCTAAGTAAAATAAGTCCTTAATTGTTTTTACAATAAATAATTATTGTACTTATTACTGGCCACATTTGGCAAGAGAAATAGTATCGGTTAAGAAGTTAAATCATCAGTGGTAAAGGTACCTTTCCTTTTTAAATATGATGGGTCACACCCCCAACATTTATCTCTATGAAAATGTTAGTTGTTTTTATTTTTATTTCTCTTAATGGTTGAGCCTTGTGTTACGGTTGTTTAAGAACCATGAATTTCTACAAAGAGGGTTTTTTGTGTTTGGTTGTCATTTCAGGAACGATGTGAAGTTTCTAGTTTACTTAAGATAATAAAAGTATTCCCAATTTTCTTGTTAGCTTTGGCCAAGCTGATGCAGGTCTTCAGTTCATTCACACGTTGGGTTCATTCAGTTTAGTGATATTATCAGAAAAAAAGAACAAATAAGAGGACAAGAAGAATCTCTGCGCCTGGTCCTCTACTTAAAGACTACTGGATATCCAAGTCAGATATGAAAGTCAAAGGAAGAATTCCTTACAAGTTTTCTTCTTCAGTCTTGTAACTGAGGTGACGAGTTTCTTATAAACTGTTAAGTCCTGTAGTAGAAGATATTTAGTATGTTGGACCATAGTCAGTAGTTCCATAGAGCAGGACATTTTTCTGCAATGAGTCTGCAACACTCAGGAGACTGCTGTTTATTATCAGCATTGCAGGGAGGAAGAATAATTATAATAATACTAAGTAAATATGTCATCTTAGGAAGATGCTTTTTTTTTTCCCTTCGAATGACATAGCCTTGGGGGGCATCCACAAATTCTGATCAGCAAGGCTGCTTTTTGTATCAGTGACTGAACATTTATACTTGTAAGGGCTGGTAAGGTATGGAAGGGGAATACTTTGTAGAAAAGAAATTCCTGAGGGGTGTGGTGTGGAGTACTGGTAGCCCTGGGTCAGTCAGTATTTGTGCCCTTGCTAGGCTATGGTTTGGGTTATTCAGCATGTTTGAAAGCGCATATAGTTTTACAAATTTTTGTAGTGGGGATGCAGGCATCCAGAATCTAACAGGTATATAGGTGCATCTCCCTCATTTTTGATGATTACTTGATATAATTTTATACCAAGTTCTTTGTTTTTAAAGAATTTCAGGCACTGAGAATATAGAGTGCATATTTATTTCTAAGCTTTAAGTAGAACACATGTGGTGTATTTTTTAATCTTTTCCATACGTTTCAGTTAAGTGTTCACAAGACTGTATATCAAATACAATACCAAGGTTTTCTATCTTTCTACAAGCTGATTTGTTTCATCTGAATTTGGTATATGTCTTTCACAAAGCACTAAATGGGGAAAATGTGTTTCAAGCATTAAGATGGTGTATGTCCTTTATTTACATTGCATCACATTCTACTTTTTTTCTTTGAGGCAGGGAGAGTGGTTACGAAATGTGTTGAAAGTGTGACAGGCATTTTGTCGTGCCTGGCTTCAAGGATTGTACTAATAAGGTTTGACTGCTCACAGATACACATAATTATCTACCCAGTTGAATACAGGACTGCTCTGTTGTATTTCCTGCTATTCAAAAACATTTGGGGAAAAGATTTCTGTGTATAATTTTATTTTCCTACTGATCTCTATTTTGTTTAAGACCATGTTTCATCATGAAATCACTTAAAATAAATCTTCTTAAAAAATCCACTTTAGAAGTCAGCTCTTTTATTCTGTCTTTGAAAATATCCTAACGTTTGCAGCAGTTTAAAACTGTTAAAGAAATCACAAAATACTCTCTCACGTCACCTTTTCTAAGTGGCTTCTGGTGGCCTCTGGAATCTGGTATGCTACAAATCATCACTTGCAGCAGAGAAAGGAAGGATTCTTTACCAAATGCAAAAGGCTCTCTGTTTTTGAATGGAGTACCACAGTGGGCAATAACATACTTTATGGAGGTGGCTTGATACGCAGCACTGAAATTTCATAGCTAAATGTCTTTGGGGAAAAGGATATTGTTCAGCCTTTCATAAAAACCAGTGCCTCCCACTGAAGATTTTCTCTTGGTTTGGTAACAGGTGAGACTAACTGCTCTGAGAGGTCCTGGTCTTTCTTGGGTGAGAGTTGGCCTCTCTGGGGCACAGGCCAAGTGGATTTTTGTTTCTGAATGGCTGAATGGTGCAGTGTCACTTCCCTTATGCTATGGTTTTCACAAACACTTTTTAGAATCTAATATTGAAGTATGTTTCTACTATTTTAAAACTTTTCCAGACAGTAATTTTGCAATCTCTTGCTTCTAAGCAGAAACGTGATGCAGGATAGCCTAAATCATTAAAGGGGAGCTATGTGGAGATAGGCTCCGAGAACACCTTTCACAGCCTCTGTCATACTTTTCAATTTTAGACTCCTAAGACAGTTTCACCCGGATCATTGATAACTGGCACCATGTGTTGAGCAACTGTACGTTTTTCCCTCAGTGTGAGGACTGGGGCTTGTACAAAGCTCATGCCAGGTGATGCTAAGGCAGTTCTGCTAAGCAATCCCTGAAATACAGTTTGTTTGCTTTGAGGATTGCCTTTTTCTTACTCATTTCCCACGTGCAAATGTTGTGGCACTCTTGCAGAGATTTTGGCAGGGGGAAAAAAAAGATTAAGTGGTCTATATTAATGAGAATCATGGTAACTCTTGTGGAGTGTCTGTATTCAGAGATTAGATGATTTCCACAGTTGAAAGCTGCAGAAGCAGCAAAAGATAGCATGCTGATTCTGAGGGGTCTGTTACATTCTGAGCTTCGAGTGTTTCATGTTGTAGCTGAGCATGTGGTGGGATCAGTGAGGTTGCTTCAGCTAAAGGTGCTCTCATGGATGTCTGGGGCATGGAGCAATCTCTGTAGTGTGGTGGTTTTTAATGTGTTTTTTGTTTGCTTGTTTCTTGTTGCTGTTGTTTCTTTCTTTTTTTTTTTTTTTTTGGATGTTATCCTTACAGAGAGAAGCAACATTTGGTGTCGGTAAGTACAGGAGTACCACCCCTAAGACAGGCAGCTTTATGCTATAATCCAGGAGGCATGGAATCAGCACATTTTTTGGCTTTCCTGCCCTATGTGGTACTCTGGCATGCCAGCTCCATGCTCTTCCTCCAAGCAAACAACTGCAGGTACTTTGCACAACAGCCATCACCGAGTCTGCAGGAAGCTGCTACTGATGACTGGAGGCTACAGTAGTAGAGACAGCATGTTGGAGAACTGCATCTTTCCCTGTGATTTCTGAAAGTTGGGGCACTGAAGATCCTGAGGTAAAGTTTCGTTCTGCTTTGCTTAAGTATGGACTGTCCTGTACAGCCTGGAATGGCTGTGCCACAAAAAACTAACTAACTAATTGCCTGGTGGAACTGTTCATTTGCATTATGCTGTGGGTTTTTTTGAGGCCTCTTGAGTGCTACAGGTCAGGACATTGCCTTGCAAATATATTGTGAAAGAAGGTATTATAAATGAGTTAAGAAGGCTCAGCCATTCAAGGCTTCCTTCTCTGTGGTTCTTAATGACATCCACTTGTCCTCTCCTCCAGCAACCAAGCTATCTGCTGAACTTGGAAGCTTGCTGTCTGTTCATTCCAAATTACATCCGTTATGACCAGACTGAGTTTAAATCATTTCTTGAGGGAACTGAGCCTCTAACTGAAGGCTGGCTTCTTGCAAGGCCTGTGGCTCGAACCTGAGCTGTACACCACAGCCTTGTGCAGTGAAAAATGGATCAGGAAGAAATAGCTCTGTCCATGAAAGCTTCTAAAAACTGTAAAAAAAAAAAAAAAGCCAACTTGGTGATGGGTAGATAACTAAGGAAAGTGAGAGAATTAATGAGGTACAATAAGGCCAAGTGCGGGGTGCTGCACTTGGGTTGGGGCAGCCCCAGGTATTTATACAGACTGGGGGAAGATCTCCTTGAGAGCAGCCCTTGGAGAAGGACTTTGGAGTCCTGGTGGATGAGAAGCTGGACATGAGCCAGCAGTGTGCACTTGCAGCCTGCAAAGCAAACTGTATTCTGGGCTGCATTAAAAAAGGGGTGGCCAGCAGGGAGAGGGAGGTAATCACCCTTGTGACTCTTGTGAGGCCCCATTTGAAATACTGCATCCAGGTTGGGGGCCTCCGGTACAGGAAGGATGTGGAGCTCTTGGAGCTGGTCCAGAGGAGGGCCACTAAGATGATCAGAAGGCTGGAGCACCTCTCCTATGAGGAAAGGTTGAGAGAACTGGGCTTGTTTAGCTTGGAGAGGAGAAGGCTCTGGGGAGACCTCATTGTGGCCTTCCAGTACTTGAAGGGAACGTATAAACAGAAGGGGGAACGGCATTTTACATGGGTGGATAGTGATAGGACAAGGGGAATAGTTTTAAACTGAGACAGGGGAGGTTTA